CTGCTAAAATTTGGTTTGTGTCCAGTTCAATGAATGGGGCTGGGCACTTGTTTGTGTAAGCTCTATAAATACACAAAACAAAGCAACTTGGAAGTTAGCCCTGGAAGGCTGGTATCTTGTACATAGAAAACCAAAGCAGAGGTTTACAGGTATCTCACAATCCAATTGTCTAAGAATTATTCTAGCACTTAGAAACCCTATGTCATCTACGCCGGGTGACTTAATTCCTTAACAACACTTGAAAGCTACAGTTTCCAACTACCTGTCCTCTTTTTACACAGCATATGACTGTAGAATACAGAGTGCCTAGTTGGGACTTGAATTCAATACTGCCATGAATCAGTAATTACCTATTCCTTCCTCCTTCTCTAAAGAAGGGTAGTCAGAGGATACACTGTGATTTGTGACAGTGGTTCAGGTGCACTTTATAAATTCCAAAACTGTAGAATTGGCAAGTAAAAACTCAAAAGCCTCACTGCTTACTCGGTAAATAGATTACTGGGTCCTTTTTGTATGCCAGCTGTACGATATAAAACCAGATATATAAAAGTTAACAGACTGAAATTCAGTATCTGATTCTACAGTAGTGAAGAATAGGGGTAAATTAAAATATTATCAGTACAAAAAATTTATACTGGGCTGCAATTCTCTTTACCTCAGATATTTTTCCTGTGATACAGTAAGCTAGTTTTACTGTAGCCATTTCATGGATAACTCTTTTACTCTACTTCCACTGACCAAACACAAACATTCTTTGTAACTGAGCAAGCTAGGGGTGGGTGGAGGGTGGGATGAGATGACCGACACAGAAAAAGAGAAAAACATAGGCAGAGGGAGAGACAGATGTCGTGCACCTTATTTTGTTCTTCATTATAAAATCCATTTAATCTACATTTACAGCACATAATCTTGTAAAGATCTCACTTGTTTCAGGCAACCAAAAAAGGAAGGAAAAATCACAGGCACAGTGGCTTTGTAACTCGCCTCTCAGTTTAGAGAAAAGCGTAACATACAGATTTTAAGCAGTAAGTCTTTAGATTAAGCTTCAGAAACAGGCTTTATTTACAGCTAGACAAACCTCTAGATTTCTAGGTTTTCCTTAGACACTCATCTTATTGCTTACCTTGGGAGAGCAATAAATTTCAAGGTTAATTTTTCTTACACTGGTCACTACAAGATTGACCAATACAGCCCTTTTCCTCTCCAAATTAACTAAAGCACGGTTTTAACTGAACAAATAATTCTATGACTCCTAAGAGAGGTAATGTAATCAATGAGGACTGCAAAAATGGATGAAAAGAGGACGACAACACTGTTTCTGTCAGAAGAGACAGTGGTAGAGAGCTGTTAGCTGGTCCCCAGCTACTAGTCCAGACAGAATTTTACAGGAGGATTTATATCTAATTTTGGGTTTAACCAGACACAACTGTTTTTTACCTCTGTAGGGTTCCACTCACAGATAACTCTAATACATCTGCACACATTGGCAGATTTGTGGTTTAGAATGCCTATCTCACAAAAAGCATCATCAACTCTGCCCAGTCCTTAGTATTAAACCTGAATATGGAAGAGAAAACTGAGGTAAATATTCTTCTGTGGTACCTGACCTGAATGAAAATTGTAGCATATCCTGGACTTTCATTAGTATGTTAAAAAGTTACTTAACAGGTTAAGAAGTAAACCTATTCCTGGTATAGGCTGATTTAGAGAGCAAGGGGGAATCTTAACTTAGAAATTCTCTTAAAGATCTACAGTGACATTCACAGAGCTCAATTTGACACCAGAAGTTTAACACCTCAGTTTCCAAGATGATCATATTGTGTGGTTCAAGCAAGTTCACTATTTACATCAAGCTTTTACAGATACCAAAATGACAGCTCTGTTCTACAAGGCACTGAACTTTATATTCAGTGAGAAAACCTGTCCTAAAATCCTCACCAACTACAATCAAAAAACCTCTTAACATTCCTTGTCATGGAAATGAAGAGAGATCAAAAGTTAGCACTGAGGTCTTTGGAAACAACTGAAGCCTCATTTTTCAAGGGACTGACTTCACTGGATAAGTAATACTGTTAACTTGGATCACATTTACATGTTTTAGCAGGAGAACACATGAGAATCTGGTAGATTACTCTGGTATGTCTACGCAGATGTTATGCAAAGACTGCAGTCAGTATTTATAGGTTTCTGTCTTCTGTGGAAAATTTAATTTCTATGAGTATACTGGAAAAGTCTTAGGATAGGGCAGACTTTGTTCTCAGCTAAGATACTGTCTTTCAAAAGTGTTTTGATAGAGAGCAAAACCATGACAGCACCGTGAAAACAAGCTTATTGTGCTTTGATAAGAGAAAAGCACCACAGATGCACAAGCTACACCCTTAGCAGGAAAAAAAATAATTCATTTCATGGAAGTCTCTTAAGATGTCAGAAAGAAAAACCTTTGTCAAAGATACTAAATATTGCAAAGAATGGAAAAAAGCATTAAATTTGGTCTCTGTGTTTGGTATTATGTAAAACTTGAAGAATTCATTTTACTACTGACACTGGCTATATACTCCAGGGGTTCAACCCTCCAAATTCAAGAGTTGCTTTAACATGACTCATGCCCACGTTTTAATGTAATACCTCCAGAGCTCTACGTGCTGTTGCTCCAGGGCAGTTAGGAGAGCACCTAGAAGCAGATTTTCTGGCATGCCATGCTCTTAAATATGAGTATAAAACAAAGACTAAAGACTCATGCAGTGCTTGATAAGCTGTGCTTTTGGTTAGGAATTCAAAAGCCATGTATCTATAAATAAACAATGACACCATCATGTTTATATAAATAAACCTGATGCCTTAAGATTTCAGTCTTTATATTTTTCAAATCCTGTACTGCATTGATGCATAACTCTAAACTCCATATAAAGCGTTAACTACTGTCTTCACTTTTTTGGTCAGTGACAGAATTTCTCTAAGCCTAAAACTCAAGGACACCCTACAGACTCGAGCCCCAAAAAGTATAAAGAAAAGTGAACTGGGGGGAGCGAACTGGGGAGATACGACTTCATTACCTGAAGCTGCAATTGGAGGATTAACCTCCTGATTTGCAAATAGACCAAACATATCTATCTGCAAAACTCATGACCATCCTCCATTTTGGGTGTAGCCCCTTGGGGAGGCTTCGTCTGCCCTTAATGTACTTGAAGGCCCTTTCATTAAATATATCTGCTTTTATCCTATTAACTTGGTCTGGCCTCTGTTTCTAGCTAAGACTGAAAAAGGCATCAAGCCAAAAACATAAAGAGCTTGGGAAACCTCTCATAGCTGACATTTTTCAGTTTGCCTTTCTGTCTTTACATTCATTGACAACTATTCTTCCCACGTCTAGTTAATTAAAATGGGAGCTATGAACATAAACACTGTGTGCTTCCACAGTTTTTAGCACAGATATATGATTTCTCATAGTGAATAGCAGCTTCTTGTGCAGTCACATTGTGTCATACAATATCAAAATTATCTGAAGTTGATGAGGAAATTGGAATGTTGCTGCCCTCAGAGTTCCTGGAGTGTCTGTACAGCATGATCTCCAGTACACTGTAAAATAATTTAGGCTGGAAAGGATCCATGGAGGTCATCTGGTCCAACACACCACACATAGCAGGACCAACTTCGAAGGTGGATCAGGTTGCTTAGGGTTATTTGAGTTCCCAGTATGTTCAAGGATGGGGATGTCACAGTTTCTGTGTAAACTGCTTGATCTATCTTATCTAAAGAAGAGTCTACTATCTGTTCCATTTCTCTTGCTGTAGACTGAGTGAAGTGGCCTGTTGCTTATGCATAAACATTTGCCCACTCGCTAAACACAAAATTGTGTTTAACACCAACTGCACACCTGAGCTTGCTTCTGTAATACCTTTGGAAATTAATGTTATGTAAATGCACATCCACACCCAATGCCAAAAGGCTTAAAATGTATTGTACCTACCTTCAGCAGTTTGAAAGTTAGCCTAGATTTCTCTTCCAAACTATCTACTGTCAACAAAGATGGGGTCGAGTGGTCCTGCATATCTAAGGATGAAGCTTCACAAAAGTTCCATTTCCCTCCACACTTTTTCTAACTTAGATCAGGCACTAAATAACTAGCCTGCCTACCATCATTTAATGTGTTTTGTATATTTAGATTGCGGCATCTTTAAGGGGAAGAACTCGACAAAAAGATCAGGGTGAGACAATGCACAGAAACATAAAATGACCACTAAGTGATCAGCAGTGTAACCAAGTCATTTTTGAAAATTCTGTAGCAAATGCTTTTCTTGTTTTTTCAAAGAGAGCACTAAACTTACTCACATCTTCAAGTGCAAACATGTACAGCAAGTTCAAGTCTTGAACTGATCACCAGACCAACACACATACAAAAAGCATAATTTAATTATCATCTTTTTGCTGTAAGCATTAACAATGAAATATTTAACTGTCAAAAGTGTTTATGAATATCTAAAAGCCTAATACAAATATCCAAAGTATTAGTAAACATTTGTAATTTGAAGTGGTAACAATAAGACATTTAATAACTCTGCATTAAATCTAACAAGCCTTTTCTAGAAGAATATTAATTTACAGTATTCTAACAACTCTTTGTACAATAAAAAAAATTAGATTTATATTTTTCTGCTTCCCTTTCCCACCCTACCACCCAGATAGTTTTGCTCTCAGACTGAGCTACTAGCCAATCAAGCCTGATGGTAAAAATCCTCTCAACCAAGGGTCCAAGATCTGAGTTTTAGCATCCAGCTCAAATGCTCTTTGGGGAAAAAAATTCCGTGTTTTTGTATAATGTGCAAAGTGCAACTTTTATCCAGTGCCATCCAAAGTGTGTGCTGCTATGAGTGTCACCAAAGAATAAATCAGTAAAAATTAAGACTTCTTAATTTGTGATTGCTCTATTACAGACAACTGTTAGATGATGTCTATGGGAATCACAGATGAAGTGGAATTTATCCTGGTGCTTACGGGGTCAGGTACTTTGCAATTTCATTAGGTCAAACAAAAGTTTTTACTCAAGTTCTTCAGTTTCCTCTGTAAAAAGGTCGGCCAAATCTGCCACTGTCAACACTGAGGCTTCTGACTGTTTCATGGAAGAGCTTGTATGGCTGTGGGAAAAAATTGCATGTGGGCATTAGAGAAAGAATCAGTGTAAGTAACGAGCTGTGAGCACTGAAGACAAGAGCACACAGTTCAGAGTCAATAGCTACTCAGCTTTGAAGCTCAGCAGGAAAACACACCTTCTGTCCAGGAAAACACATACACTCATCAGCTACTGCTCTTGCACATTCTAGCTAAGATAAAATGTCCATCTACTGTCCCCCAACTGTGGTCAACACCAAAGCTGCAAAGCTGCAAAGGCAGCAGAACATGGGAAAATCCATTTTGACCTCTTAACATTTAAGGGATTTGCTTTAGCTTCCAAGGATGAAGTTGAATATTACTTTCAAAACATTAGCCCTCATGGGATCATTCAACCACTGTACATTTATCCAAATTTTATGTGCCAAAGTAGTGCTACTTCACAGATAAAGAGAATAAATCATTCTTCAACAGCTAAAACTGCATAACTTTCATAACTACAGCCAAAGACATGCATGTAATTTTTAGTTTCATAATCTATAACAAGCAAAATTTCCTTAAACTAAGGTTTCCTCCGATTTATCATGTGTATACCATCTAGTTAAAAGGTACAGACCTCTTACACTGTCTGCATAAGGAATGTAAATAGCATTTTTGATCCTGCTCCAATCCACCACTGCTTACAGCTTTTGTAAAGATAAACCACAGTGAGAACTGCTTTCTGTGTCTGCACACCAGCCTGATGTATGACTTTGCATCTGGGCAATGCTTGCATGGACTGTGAAACCAAGGAGTGTGACACAGCACCATCAGATGAGGTTTGTAGGATTTAAAAAAATAACAAAAGAAAGAACCCATGTCCTGTGCTAGAGTTTTTAACAGATACTGTTGCTCTAGTGGCAGGCTTAGTACTACTCTATCAATTGCAATGTTTTTATACCAATGGAAATAGGTAAACTGAAAAGATAAAACATATCATAATACATAATTTATTACTTGGGCTTTTATGAAATAAAATACACAAAACAGAACCAAAATATTTTCCAGATAATTAAAATAACTTAAGCTGCAAGTTACTGGAACCAGGTTAAAACTTTTGAAGTCTTAAAACTGTTTTGCCAATCAAAACAGTTTGAAGAACAGTTGAAGTTATATACAAGATATACATTGCTAACCATGTATGGTGGAGAACCGCCCCTTCGTTTTTGGTGCAATAATGACATTTTAAAAAAATTCAACACATACCTTCTATCTACAGTTTTCAGCATAGTCTGCATTCTCTCTTCTATTGTTGCTTTGATCAGGAACCTATGAACAATCGTAGATCTGAATGTGTTTAAAGAAAAGAAAACACCACCATAAGTGAGCAGAAGTTGTACTGTTACTGCCAAAGTTTATAACCATATTTTTGTCTCATAATAATTCTATGAAAAGTGTTAAAAATATGCCTCTGGTTTTTAAGAAATAAATGTTACAAGTGATTAGCAACTTCCACTGACATTTCATAGTGTTTAGTGCTTCCCTTTAAACACACTTTCACTAAATGAATGTAAGGTGTATTAGCTAATATCCTAATGCAGATCCTGGGCAAAGTTCTGCTTTCAGTGTCCTTACTAGAAACATTCCTCCAAACCCTAAAGAAAAAAGAGTTTTGCCCACTGTTTATTTACAATGTTCATACTTCATTGTCACAAATTATTCCAAGAGAAAAGAGCTCAATGTGATGGATAATTAAACCTAATATCCAGAGTTTTAATAATATTATTTTTGAAGACAGCAAAACACTACTATTTTTTAAAAAAAGAAGTCAGTAACTGTAGTCAGTAAACACTGGTAAAATATGAAACTCAAAATGTCAATAAACAGAATAAAACATGAAAATCCCATTTATGAAATAAAATTTCAAAAACCAAAGCAGTAATGTAGTAAAGTGCCAGGCACCAGAAAGTGAAATGGAAAAATATCAGATCCAAAGATAAAAATGAAAAAGCACCCCATGCTCCCCAATATAAACATTTTTCAAGGTAAGCACCCTTGAAAATGCTTAAATGGTTTTCAGATCTTAGGTTGAAACTCTGGCAGGTAACATTTCACAGGAGAATGCAGGGGGAATACTTTCGGATTCACAGGAAAAGGTCTACCCCCAAAAAAGAAAAGTAAATAAGAACTGAACTGGTAGTAGCTGTACCAATGACACTAAACACAGTATTACTTAATGCTCAGTGTACTTGGAACACAGCCTGTTTTAAAAATAAGCCTTGCTGAAATCTTAATTCTTAAGAAGTACAACGTATTCTTGGTGATTTTATTGCAAGGTTTTTGCCACACCTTTTGTGCCAGCATCATGTTGAATTGCAGTGTGGACTGTTGCAATCAATCTTTCCTGTGCCCTCACATGAATTCAAAATCTCCACCAACACACACAAATATCCACCTGCTCATAAACATTCTCTCACATACATGCTCCTTCATGTCTTCCTCTCTCTTTGCTTTCACTTCCAGAACACAACCTCCACTATTATTCTACAGTACTGTTATTCCAGAATTGACTGCACTATTTTTCTTCTTCATGTATTGGGCTTTGAAGTTGTTTTTCTTTTTTTTCTAAAGTCACAAGACCTTAGGAAAAACACATACATCTTATATGTTGAGAACAAACTTCCTGTACTGAAAGTTTAAAACCTTTTAAAAGTGTTCAGTACTACCTATGTCAGAGCAACAACACTGAAACAAACAAGAGAAATGCAAACTCATTACTGCCTTCAAAAAGGCAGGGGTGAGGGCAGAACTGTGATTTAAAAAACTTACTAGTTCTAATGAGAGTGTGCTATAACTTGCTTTTTGGAAAAACAGCCCCAACCAAAAAAAGCCCCAAAACAAGGAAACAAAAAAATTCCCAACAATTTATGCAGCTCCTAATCTGGAGCTGAGAATGACCAGTTAGAAAGGCCATGCCTGAACTTAGCCATATATGACATAAATAATTGAGTTGCTCGGACCTGCAAAGGTAAGACATTTCTGGACATTTTTGCAAGCAGAACTCCAAAGTTAAAAACGAAAGCATCAATGGCACACAATAAAATAAGGTAGCAGCTGAACAAGGTTTTTTCAGATCTATTCTGGACCATATCTAAACCATTGAACACAACTGTAGCTCTTACTTGGTTTGGCCAATACGATGTACCCTGCCAATAGCCTGTAGCTCATGTGCCGGATTCAGAATGGGCTCCACGAGCAGAACGTGAGTCGCTTCGATGATGTTCAGTCCATTGGAACCAGTATGAAGAGGCAGCAGCAAAATATTGATGTTGGGATCATATTTAAATGCAGACAGGTTTTCCTAAAAGGCAAACATCACAGTAGCGTAACAAAGTTCCTCAGTGGAGAGTGTGGGGGACAGGACTATTATTTTCAACAAATTATATCAGCTAATACAGGCTCCAGAGTGACAATCTTGCACGTCTGTCATCCCAGAACAGATACATGACAGTCTCAGGAAGGCATGAACTTCTTGCAAGACTGATCAGTGTGCCTCATCCTTAACTTCCATGCCAATGCATCTTTCTCAAAAGTGAATGTACTGTTTTTCTCCAAATGCATTAAACTAGGACTTTTTGAGATTATAATTTTTAGAATGAATAAGTTAAGACACCAAAGCTTCTGCCACACAAATTTATTGCTCTTTTAGTTTCTGAAATGAAGCAACAAAACAAAAGGGATCAGATTAACTTCTATGAACTATGATTTTCCCACTGAAAATAATTTAAGAAAAATATCCTTTATGTACCTGAAATTTACTAATTCCATTGATCTGAGAAAAAACCATGTTGTTGTCATACAAAGCTTTTGAAATTATATCCAACACATCTTGCCACTGTAAAAAAAAACAAAACAAAACCACACAACACAATAAAAGTAACTCAACATTACAAACAGCAATGACAACTAAAAAATAATAATTAACTTCCCTAAGAAAGAGTTTAAAAAGCTTTTCAAAACACTAGTATTTGCAATTTTAAAAAAAACCTGTGTGCTAGAAACCAAATCTTTCATAAAACTAAGTAAGACAGGTAATTAGAAAGATCAGCTTGAATAAAAGGAATTGGTAGCCATTGCAAAAACAGTTTTACAATGTATCAAAACCATTTGGACATCACATTTAAAAATATCTAGAATTTCTACTGCTTCCATACAAATCTAAGTGTTTGCCCTTTAAAGAAACAAGCTTTCACATCTGCTGACTATGATCGTTATTCTTGTTCCAGGTACAGGACTTGCCCTACAAATCCTTAAAACAATCAAGTGCTTGTACAGAGTGATTCAACATTTTGGTAGCTGAACTAGTTCCCAAAAAAATTACGAACGCTTTAAACTCAAAACACACATGCAAAGACAAGACAGAAAATAGTGATTAATACCGTTGAGAAAACTAAGGACTTAGCCCCTGGATCTTTAAATTGAATTCTCTTCAGTGTTCGGACCACAGCTTCCACTTTGGTGGAGTGACTTCCCTTTGAAAAGTCAAAGAAGCACATTAGTAAAGCAGAATAGTAAAAACACTCCTTCCACATTCATTGCTTTATTAAATGATGTTATATTAGATCTTTTACACATCTTACACATAATTACAAATGATCAGCCTTGGAGAAGGGCAGGTTAAGTAGTACTACTTAAAGCAGTACTTTTACCTCTCCCTTNCAAAGACTAAAGACTCATGCAGTGCTTGATAAGCTGTGCTTTTGGTTAGGAATTCAAAAGCCATGTATCTATAAATAAACAATGACACCATCATGTTTATATAAATAAACCTGATGCCTTAAGATTTCAGTCTTTATATTTTTCAAATCCTGTACTGCATTGATGCATAACTCTAAACTCCATATAAAGCGTTAACTACTGTCTTCACTTTTTTGGTCAGTGACAGAATTTCTCTAAGCCTAAAACTCAAGGACACCCTACAGACTCGAGCCCCAAAAAGTATAAAGAAAAGTGAACTGGGGGGAGCGAACTGGGGAGATACGACTTCATTACCTGAAGCTGCAATTGGAGGATTAACCTCCTGATTTGCAAATAGACCAAACATATCTATCTGCAAAACTCATGACCATCCTCCATTTTGGGTGTAGCCCCTTGGGGAGGCTTCGTCTGCCCTTAATGTACTTGAAGGCCCTTTCATTAAATATATCTGCTTTTATCCTATTAACTTGGTCTGGCCTCTGTTTCTAGCTAAGACTGAAAAAGGCATCAAGCCAAAAACATAAAGAGCTTGGGAAACCTCTCATAGCTGACATTTTTCAGTTTGCCTTTCTGTCTTTACATTCATTGACAACTATTCTTCCCACGTCTAGTTAATTAAAATGGGAGCTATGAACATAAACACTGTGTGCTTCCACAGTTTTTAGCACAGATATATGATTTCTCATAGTGAATAGCAGCTTCTTGTGCAGTCACATTGTGTCATACAATATCAAAATTATCTGAAGTTGATGAGGAAATTGGAATGTTGCTGCCCTCAGAGTTCCTGGAGTGTCTGTACAGCATGATCTCCAGTACACTGTAAAATAATTTAGGCTGGAAAGGATCCATGGAGGTCATCTGGTCCAACACACCACACATAGCAGGACCAACTTCGAAGGTGGATCAGGTTGCTTAGGGTTATTTGAGTTCCCAGTATGTTCAAGGATGGGGATGTCACAGTTTCTGTGTAAACTGCTTGATCTATCTTATCTAAAGAAGAGTCTACTATCTGTTCCATTTCTCTTGCTGTAGACTGAGTGAAGTGGCCTGTTGCTTATGCATAAACATTTGCCCACTCGCTAAACACAAAATTGTGTTTAACACCAACTGCACACCTGAGCTTGCTTCTGTAATACCTTTGGAAATTAATGTTATGTAAATGCACATCCACACCCAATGCCAAAAGGCTTAAAATGTATTGTACCTACCTTCAGCAGTTTGAAAGTTAGCCTAGATTTCTCTTCCAAACTATCTACTGTCAACAAAGATGGGGTCGAGTGGTCCTGCACATCTAAGGATGAAGCTTCACAAAAGTTCCATTTCCCTCCACACTTTTTCTAACTTAGATCAGGCACTAAATAACTAGCCTGCCTACCATCATTTAATGTGTTTTGTATATTTAGATTGCGGCATCTTTAAGGGGAAGAACTCGACAAAAAGATCAGGGTGAGACAATGCACAGAAACATAAAATGACCACTAAGTGATCAGCAGTGTAACCAAGTCATTTTTGAAAATTCTGTAGCAAATGCTTTTCTTGTTTTTTCAAAGAGAGCACTAAACTTACTCACATCTTCAAGTGCAAACATGTACAGCAAGTTCAAGTCTTGAACTGATCACCAGACCAACACACATACAAAAAGCATAATTTAATTATCATCTTTTTGCTGTAAGCATTAACAATGAAATATTTAACTGTCAAAAGTGTTTATGAATATCTAAAAGCCTAATACAAATATCCAAAGTATTAGTAAACATTTGTAATTTGAAGTGGTAACAATAAGACATTTAATAACTCTGCATTAAATCTAACAAGCCTTTTCTAGAAGAATATTAATTTACAGTATTCTAACAACTCTTTGTACAATAAAAAAAATTAGATTTATATTTTTCTGCTTCCCTTTCCCACCCTACCACCCAGATAGTTTTGCTCTCAGACTGAGCTACTAGCCAATCAAGCCTGATGGTAAAAATCCTCTCAACCAAGGGTCCAAGATCTGAGTTTTAGCATCCAGCTCAAATGCTCTTTGGGGAAAAAAATTCCGTGTTTTTGTATAATGTGCAAAGTGCAACTTTTATCCAGTGCCATCCAAAGTGTGTGCTGCTATGAGTGTCACCAAAGAATAAATCAGTAAAAATTAAGACTTCTTAATTTGTGATTGCTCTATTACAGACAACTGTTAGATGATGTCTATGGGAATCACAGATGAAGTGGAATTTATCCTGGTGCTTACTGGGTCAGGTACTTTGCAATTTCATTAGGTCAAACAAAAGTTTTTACTCAAGTTCTTCAGTTTCCTCTGTAAAAAGGTCGGCCAAATCTGCCACTGTCAACACTGAGGCTTCTGACTGTTTCATGGAAGAGCTTGTATGGCTGTGGGAAAAAATTGCATGTGGGCATTAGAGAAAGAATCAGTGTAAGTAACGAGCTGTGAGCACTGAAGACAAGAGCACACAGTTCAGAGTCAATAGCTACTCAGCTTTGAAGCTCAGCAGGAAAACACACCTTCTGTCCAGGAAAACACATACACTCATCAGCTACTGCTCTTGCACATTCTAGCTAAGATAAAATGTCCATCTACTGTCCCCCAACTGTGGTCAACACCAAAGCTGCAAAGCTGCAAAGGCAGCAGAACATGGGAAAATCCATTTTGACCTCTTAACATTTAAGGGATTTGCTTTAGCTTCCAAGGATGAAGTTGAATATTACTTTCAAAACATTAGCCCTCATGGGATCATTCAACCACTGTACATTTATCCAAATTTTATGTGCCAAAGTAGTGCTACTTCACAGATAAAGAGAATAAATCATTCTTCAACAGCTAAAACTGCATAACTTTCATAACTACAGCCAAAGACATGCATGTAATTTTTAGTTTCATAATCTATAACAAGCAAAATTTCCTTAAACTAAGGTTTCCTCCGATTTATCATGTGTATACCATCTAGTTAAAAGGTACAGACCTCTTACACTGTCTGCATAAGGAATGTAAATAGCATTTTTGATCCTGCTCCAATCCACCACTGCTTACAGCTTTTGTAAAGATAAACCACAGTGAGAACTGCTTTCTGTGTCTGCACACCAGCCTGATGTATGACTTTGCATCTGGGCAATGCTTGCATGGACTGTGAAACCAAGGAGTGTGACACAGCACCATCAGATGAGGTTTGTAGGATTTAAAAAAATAACAAAAGAAAGAACCCATGTCCTGTGCTAGAGTTTTTAACAGATACTGTTGCTCTAGTGGCAGGCTTAGTACTACTCTATCAATTGCAATGTTTTTATACCAATGGAAATAGGTAAACTGAAAAGATAAAACATATCATAATACATAATTTATTACTTGGGCTTTTATGAAATAAAATACACAAAACAGAACCAAAATATTTTCCAGATAATTAAAATAACTTAAGCTGCAAGTTACTGGAACCAGGTTAAAACTTTTGAAGTCTTAAAACTGTTTTGCCAATCAAAACAGTTTGAAGAACAGTTGAAGTTATATACAAGATATACATTGCTAACCATGTATGGTGGAGAACCGCCCCTTCGTTTTTGGTGCAATAATGACATTTTAAAAAAATTCAACACATACCTTCTATCTACAGTTTTCAGCATAGTCTGCATTCTCTCTTCTATTGTTGCTTTGATCAGGAACCTATGAACAATCGTAGATCTGAATGTGTTTAAAGAAAAGAAAACACCACCATAAGTGAGCAGAAGTTGTACTGTTACTGCCAAAGTTTATAACCATATTTTTGTCTCATAATAATTCTATGAAAAGTGTTAAAAATATGCCTCTGGTTTTTAAGAAATAAATGTTACAAGTGATTAGCAACTTCCACTGACATTTCATAGTGTTTAGTGCTTCCCTTTAAACACACTTTCACTAAATGAATGTAAGGTGTATTAGCTAATATCCTAATGCAGATCCTGGGCAAAGTTCTGCTTTCAGTGTCCTTACTAGAAACATTCCTCCAAACCCTAAAGAAAAAAGAGTTTTGCCCACTGTTTATTTACAATGTTCATACTTCATTGTCACAAATTATTCCAAGAGAAAAGAGCTCAATGTGATGGATAATTAAACCTAATATCCAGAGTTTTAATAATATTATTTTTGAAGACAGCAAAACACTACTATTTTTTAAAAAAAGAAGTCAGTAACTGTAGTCAGTAAACACTGGTAAAATATGAAACTCAAAATGTCAATAAACAGAATAAAACATGAAAATCCCATTTATGAAATAAAATTTCAAAAACCAAAGCAGTAATGTAGTAAAGTGCCAGGCACCAGAAAGTGAAATGGAAAAATATCAGATCCAAAGATAAAAATGAAAAAGCACCCCATGCTCCCCAATATAAACATTTTTCAAGGTAAGCACCCTTGAAAATGCTTAAATGGTTTTCAGATCTTAGGTTGAAACTCTGGCAGGTAACATTTCACAGGAGAATGCAGGGGGAATACTTTCGGATTCACAGGAAAAGGTCTACCCCCAAAAAAGAAAAGTAAATAAGAACTGAACTGGTAGTAGCTGTACCAATGACACTAAACACAGTATTACTTAATGCTCAGTGTACTTGGAACACAGCCTGTTTTAAAAATAAGCCTTGCTGAAATCTTAATTCTTAAGAAGTACAACGTATTCTTGGTGATTTTATTGCAAGGTTTTTGCCACACCTTTTGTGCCAGCATCATGTTGAATTGCAGTGTGGACTGTTGCAATCAATCTTTCCTGTGCCCTCACATGAATTCAAAATCTCCACCAACACACACAAATATCCACCTGCTCATAAACATTCTCTCACATACATGCTCCTTCATGTCTTCCTCTCTCTTTGCTTTCACTTCCAGAACACAACCTCCACTATTATTCTACAGTACTGTTATTCCAGAATTGACTGCACTATTTTTCTTCTTCATGTATTGGGCTTTGAAGTTGTTTTTCTTTTTTTTCTAAAGTCACAAGACCTTAGGAAAAACACATACATCTTATATGTTGAGAACAAACTTCCTGTACTGAAAGTTTAAAACCTTTTAAAAGTGTTCAGTACTACCTATGTCAGAGCAACAACACTGAAACAAACAAGAGAAATGCAAACTCATTACTGCCTTCAAAAAGGCAGGGGTGAGGGCAGAACTGTGATTTAAAAAACTTACTAGTTCTAATGAGAGTGTGCTATAACTTGCTTTTTGGAAAAACAGCCCCAACCAAAAAAAGCCCCAAAACAAGGAAACAAAAAAATTCCCAACAATTTATGCAGCTCCTAATCTGGAGCTGAGAATGACCAGTTAGAAAGGCCATGCCTGAACTTAGCCATATATGACATAAATAATTGAGTTGCTCGGACCTGCAAAGGTAAGACATTTCTGGACATTTTTGCAAGCAGAACTCCAAAGTTAAAAACGAAAGCATCAATGGCACACAATAAAATAAGGTAGCAGCTGAACAAGGTTTTTTCAGATCTATTCTGGACCATATCTAAACCATTGAACACAACTGTAGCTCTTACTTGGTTTGGCCAATACGATGTACCCTGCCAATAGCCTGTAGCTCATGTGCCGGATTCAGAATGGGCTCCACGAGCAGAACGTGAGTCGCTTCGATGATGTTCAGTCCATTGGAACCAGTATGAAGAGGCAGCAGCAAAATATTGATGTTGGGATCATATTTAAATGCAGACAGGTTTTCCTAAAAGGCAAACATCACAGTAGCGTAACAAAGTTCCTCAGTGGAGAGTGTGGGGGACAGGACTATTATTTTCAACAAATTATATCAGCTAATACAGGCTCCAGAGTGACAATCTTGCACGTCTGTCATCCCAGAACAGATACATGACAGTCTCAGGAAGGCATGAACTTCTTGCAAGACTGATCAGTGTGCCTCATCCTTAACTTCCATGCCAATGCATCTTTCTCAAAAGTGAATGTACTGTTTTTCTCCAAATGCATTAAACTAGGACTTTTTGAGATTATAATTTTTAGAATGAATAAGTTAAGACACCAAAGCTTCTGCCACACAAATTTATTGCTCTTTTAGTTTCTGAAATGAAGCAACAAAACAAAAGGGATCAGATTAACTTCTATGAACTATGATTTTCCCACTGAAAATAATTTAAGAAAAATATCCTTTATGTACCTGAAATTTACTAATTCCATTGATCTGAGAAAAAACCATGTTGTTGTCATACAAAGCTTTTGAAATTATATCCAACACATCTTGCCACTGTAAAAAAAAACAAAACAAAACCACACAACACAATAAAAGTAACTCAACATTACAAACAGCAATGACAACTAAAAAATAATAATTAACTTCCCTAAGAAAGAGTTTAAAAAGCTTTTCAAAACACTAGTATTTGCAATTTTAAAAAAAACCTGTGTGCTAGAAACCAAATCTTTCATAAAACTAAGTAAGACAGGTAATTAGAAAGATCAGCTTGAATAAAAGGAATTGGTAGCCATTGCAAAAACAGTTTTACAATGTATCAAAACCATTTGGACATCACATTTAAAAATATCTAGAATTTCTACTGCTTCCATACAAATCTAAGTGTTTGCCCTTTAAAGAAACAAGCTTTCACATCTGCTGACTATGATCGTTATTCTTGTTCCAGGTACAGGACTTGCCCTACAAATCCTTAAAACAATCAAGTGCTTGTACAGAGTGATTCAACATTTTGGTAGCTGAACTAGTTCCCAAAAAAATTACGAACGCTTTAAACTCAAAACACACATGCAAAGACAAGACAGAAAATAGTGATTAATACCGTTGAGAAAACTAAGGACTTAGCCCCTGGATCTTTAAATTGAATTCTCTTCAGTGTTCGGACCACAGCTTCCACTTTGGTGGAGTGACTTCCCTTTGAAAAGTCAAAGAAGCACATTAGTAAAGCAGAATAGTAAAAACACTCCTTCCACATTCATTGCTTTATTAAATGATGTTATATTAGATCTTTTACACATCTTACACATAATTACAAATGATCAGCCTTGGAGAAGGGCAGGTTAAGTAGTACTACTTAAAGCAGTACTTTTACCTCTCCCTTATAATGCACTGCATTGGGATCAGCAGTGTGGAACAGCATGTGCAGCACATGGAAGAATGAGGTGCCATGCAGACACCCTCTAGCTCTGCATGAGGCAAAACAGATGGCCCAAGCAGTGCAGTGGCACCAAACGTGCCCATTAGGTCTCCTGCAGTTTAACTTTGTGGCACAGTCTTTACAGAATCTTTCAAATGCACATTACAATTTCCCTACCTTCACATCTCTTGAAAATGGACCACGAAAAAAAACCTACCTGAATGCTGTTTATGTTGATTTTGTTTCTCACTCTGGCAACTCTGAACTTACGCTCAGTACTATGACGCTTGTTAATTATATTTAAAACAGTAAGAGAATTGTAAAGATACTTAATTTTTGAACGATGGTGAGCTTCAATGAAAACATCTTTCCATTCTGCATTCACAAGTATTTCAGTGCTTAACAAATCCAATACTTTACTCTACATCTTGTACATTTTGATTTATGCACTCTTACCTTTCCCCTTAGGTCAGTGAGAAGATACAAAGAGATGCAATTCTTTTTCCATCTCCTTCAGTATGTACTTTGTATTACAGCAATTTTACCTAATGTCTTTCTTAAAGAAGCCTTGACTTTCTTACTAGTTCCTACACACATAGTAATTTCAAGCTGTGCTAGATTAAGCAGGACAAATACTGTTTTATTTCTGTCTGCACCTGTCTTTTGAACATTGAATTAACTATGTTGGCTCACTACAATGACAGATCAAATTTACTGAAGTCATGCTGCTTGCAGAATTGGCTGGGAAGATGTCAGCAGTCTCAGCACAAGCTGAGAACCAATGCTGGGCTGCTTGATCACACTCACACATTAAGGCAGCTAACATGTAAAAGACTTTCTGCAGACTGTTTTACCAAAGGCTGCAGTAAGCAGTGCCATTTTGTTACCCAAGGTCCTCCACAGTGATTCCAACTCTGCAATGTCACAGACACAGAAATTAACCAGCTTTCTTCAGCACCATTTCTGTTGCACCTGGTAGACACTGACTGTTCATCTGACTGTTTGCAAAGTCAGATGGACAATTAGAAATGCTTATGTTGGCAGGTATTCTGATTTGAAAGGATGACACATTTGCAGCCCTATGGCTGCTGCCTGCCAATCATAAACACCTACAGTTAGGAGATCCAACACTAGCTTTTAGGACTTCCTACATAATTCCAGGGTCATTTATGTGCTTTTGCAATACCATTCATCTCTGATTCAGTGATGACAATCCTGGCTAATCTGTTCTAATTGTCTTTTCCTCAGAAACTGTTTTTAGACTTTGTCATAGGTTCTATTTTTCCCTGCTACAACAGATAGTAGCTTTAGCCACTGCTGTTGATTTTTCCACCTTTCAGATTCCTGTGACTCAGGTATCAAAGGTGATTTCGTACAACACCAGGAAGGTGAACAGATGGTGCAGAAAACCGCACAATGCTCAAAATGGTCACACTCTTTTTGCTGTTTTTTAAACAAGATAACTGTGTAAAGTTCGTCATCCCTCTGTCTATATTATGTTAAACTATATTAGACTTTTTGAACTTACTGGTGACTAAAACTTTGGTTCACAGCATACACAAAGATTTCAATTTTGTTCTCCATGGAGAGATGAAACTGACAGAAGTACCCTCGTTTTTCAGTCTGTCTTAAAAAATGGTACCCTACTCATTACCCCTACACCTTGAGTCTGTCATTTTGTTGAATATTCAGATGACTACAAAAAAATTGCCTAGTTCAAATGAATTATGGAACAGTTAACAACAGAACCAAAACCACCCTCTAACAAATAATTTCTGTCTCAGATGACAGGCTGGCAATGCCTACTGTAATACTGACCAGACACAGGAAGCTTTTAGAAAACCAAAACATGCAGGGATGCCAGTAATCTCTCTCTCAGTATAAAATGCTTCCATTTACAGTAGTCCTTTTGCATCTAAGGCGTTACCTTAAGATGGTTAGTATTGGTACAATAAAGAGTAAGATAAAAAGAAAGAGAGGTAGTGAATACTTTAAGAAACTGGAAGGATTGAGAAAGATCAGATTAAAATATAAACACTGAATAAATCACACAATTTGCATAGCTATCCCAAAAGATACTGATCTTAACCTCAGTATTCTATAGAAACCATAGCAAGTTTGTTATTCTTTGTTAACTGTCCTTTAAAGGAATATGACGTAGAAACTTCTATTTTTAACGATGTTGCTTGTTTAGAGAGTAAATACAGTGAAGCGACAGTGTAAATTTTTAATTTTTCATGAACTAAAAATGAGCTTTGCTCAAGAAAATTCACACAAAACTTATATTTTTGCTTTATTTTTGCTTTGTTTAAAGTTTTTGATGCACAAATACTTCAAGAAAACATTACAACTCTTTACACCGGACAGCAGATGACATGTCCTTTCAGTGTCTTATTTATGAAATTTGGTTATTTTAGTTATTTTTTAATGCAATTTATGAAACATACTTGAAATTTTGTTAGAAACAGGGTGATATTGCTAAACTGTATATGGAATTAATATGTAAAATGCCCTGCATTAAGTGATGTTTTAATAAGTAGCACTTGAAAAATACAGCCTGTTTACTCCCCCTGGTGCCACATACTGTCAACTACTTTAATAATTCAAGTTAGGAATCAACTATGCATAAAATGGAATTCCATTTGTCCAGGCACGTTGAAATAACTAGTATGAATGTGGTAGCATTGTCTTCAGTACAGGGCAGCAACCCTAGAAATTGTGCAAGGTTCAAGGAGACTTGTACAGATATGGAAGTCTGTCAGCACAACTAGTCATTATTTTTAAATATAAATCAGATTAAAATTATGACAAGTTATATCCAGCTGTATCATAATCATATTTCAATGAAAAACAGCAGTATTGTCTAAACCAAAATTTATCAATGTATTTAACATTTGCACTTTATCTCAGAATCCTCTATTTTTCCCACAACTGCAACAAACACAGTTTTTTTGTTTCTGCAACATTCTACAAGACATTCATGCAGAGCAAAGACGTACCTATGCACTACATATATGTCAGTATTGCTAAAGACTCAGGGAGATGCTGTCTGTTCAACCCAATGAAAACCCTCTGTTAGTGAAAAAAGCTGATACAACAGTGCAATCAGTGTAATTCAATCACTGAATTCCTACACATTTGTGTCTGGAGGTTTTGTCATTAGGACAAACTATTTATAAAACTACATAGTACGCAGGTCTGCCTAACTGCAGTATGCTACAAAACACAACAAATAGGCACTGCCAAAAGTTTGGGCCACAGAGCTCCTGCAGACAACTCACCTTTACAGGAATATCATCCTCCTGGTTTGCAGCTTCTGCAGTGAAGACATAAGATATTTCTTTATGGGATGTTGTCTGCCTGCAAATGGCACATTTAATGGAGCTCCGGCGGGTGCCAACGCTGTACTGCTGGATGATGATTGCTATGCACTCATTGCAAAAACAGTGTCCACACGTCAGCACTGCCCACTAAGCAGAAAACAAAAAACCCAAATACAACACAGTTCCAGTTTTGGACAGGTGCAAAAGAAAAACAGTGTACTAATCTATAATAAATTATGTTTTCATAGAGAAATTACATTGTTTTCATGATACTCATCAGATTAAAGAAGAATTTTACAATTGCTGCACTCCAGCTGCTAAAAAGCCTGAATTTCAAAGTTTTCCAGCACAGAGACATTCATGAGCTAAAGGAAGTCTCTGCATTTATTGTTCATTGTTTGCATTTTCTCAGTTTTGAACTTCAGGAAAGACATTACAATCTTTCATTTCTATGAAAGATGATTCTTAATGCTTTATATGTAAACACAGGTTAAGTATTTACATAATTTTTTAAAAATTACAACAATATTTTTATTTGCCTTCTGCAAAATTCTTCATCAGTGCATTCATACTAGATTAGTCTTATTTAATAAGTGATAGAAAAAAATGCTTTCATTTTTCCCTACTGGTAAGTCCTAGACACATCTTTGGACTTTAGAAGAAAGACTTTGTACATAGTGTCTTAATCTCTTTTTGACAGAATGTATATGCAACAGAAGATTGCATTGCAGAAGCTCTTCTCCCCTTGTGAGCCTAGAGCATCTACATGTCAGCCAGAACCTTCCATAACAGAGAAGCAATTTGAAGACCAGACGTTTTGAAATTCAAAATAATATCTTTTGCTGTACTAGTTTTTTAGGCCATTCCAAGAGGAAAAACGGAAAGTTTTCATGGGATCAAGTAGCAAAGGAATTGACTAAACCACTGATTATCAAGCAGAAAGTCTTTTAGGCTTGGTAAGGTTTTTCCAGTTGTGCAGAAACCAGATGCAAAGTATTTTAAAACTTCTTTACAACACGAAAGCTGCTATCATCTAAAGCAGCAGTCTTGCTGTTAAGAAAAGATAAAGAAAGTTAAGAGATTATTTTCCCTTTCAGTGAGCTCCCCCAGCCCCGAGACAAAAAATAATGGCAGTTAACAGGACTAACAGCTGCTCTCTGTAAAAACCTATATTACTCTTGGTAGAAGAGCACAGAGATGATTTTGGAAACATGGCAGGACAGCAGTTCATGCTTACACAGGTCTATAATGCAAAGAGAAGCTAAACCTCCCTAAAATAGCTACTCTAAAAAAAGAGACAATTTAGTTTGACCATATAGGAGTCTTTTCATGTTTTTCCCTAATGCATGGTAAGTCAAATTTAAACTATGGCTTTGCACTTTATAATATATAGATTAAGTCTCCCTCGAATTTCAACTCCTGCAGTTCAGCAGGGAAGTGATGGGGAAAGAAATCTACACTGCCAATATTTATTGGATTTTGCTACTGTTTGCATATGTAATAGCATTTTCTTTAGAAGAAAAAAATACTGTCAATATGAATAATTACAGTAAAATACAATAGTATACAATAGAAGTTTACCTACTTCTTCTTTCTGTTAGCTTATAAATGGGAAATAAATCTTTCTGCCAAAAGTATAACTTCAGAGTTATAAAACAATCATGAACACACATTTTTGGAACAGAAAAGCACTGATGTTGAAAGCTAAAAGAAGTAGACGTGCTTGCATCTGAGAAAGATGTTATTTCTGGGGAGAGGCTGGTTGGTACAATACAGGAAACAGCTCATTTTCCCTGTTTCATTACAACATTCATTTAAAAACAGATGTTGACAATTTGACACACAACTGGCTCAACTCTAGCTAAAGATGTTCTAAAACTAAAACCTGCTGAATAAGTATCTTACCTGTCTCCCTAGTTGACGTGCACAGATTGGACATGGTTCCGGGTTAACTCCTCCTGTAGTTTTATCCTGAGACTGTAATTTAGAAAAAAAAAAAAAAAAGTAAGTTTTGTGTTTTGTTATTCTATATTTAAAACAAGCTTCTAGAAAAAAATGAATAATGAAGCCCTTAAAAGAAACCAAATCAAACCAAAGCACTATGTGAGCAAATTAAAAATATATTCATGTACTCAAGTCCATCTTGAGGACTTCAAAAATATGTAACTTATGGTAAGCAAAAGGAGCATTTTTCATTCTGCAATCCTTCAGATGGCATCTTCAGCACTGTAACAGTTCTGAAAAATCCTCGTAAAATACAAACTTCAAACAAGAAACTCCACATATTTTCTATCAGATTCACATTGTTGCAAAAACACTTATTTTGCTTAACTATGCTTACTTTAACATAAATGCACTCACTCGAACAGTATGATTGAAATAACATATAATACATAGAGGTTGTCTGTTTTGGTTTGGTTTTGGTTTTTTTTAACACTTACTTAAACACCAGATGTGATTATCTTTCTGTTTCAGGTAAGCTCTTTGTAAAACACCAAAGGTATGCATAGACATATATAATTTTATAAGGCTTCTACTAAACATAGCCCAGTTAGTTTTAATGAAAACTTTAAGCATCTAAAACAAGTTCGTAGTTTAATAAGCATGTAATTAAACAAGGAACTAAAATACCTAATGCAATAAATAGCTTTATGAGCACACAGTAACACAAGGAACAGCTCACTGAATTTCAAAATGTGATGAATCTTCACAGAAAATACAATATTTTTAAGATGGGAGTTTCAAATAAAAATAATGGTAGGTTTCTTCCCTTCCATGGGTAAACAGAGTACATCACTTAGGTAAAGACCAAGGAATCATTAAACTTACTTTCTCCAGATTAGTGAGGTACAGAAGTTGTCCTAATTTCTTTTGAAGCTGTGATTTGGCAACTGCCTTGTCATTCAGAAGTTTCACTCGATTTTGCTCTACCTATGAAAACAACATTAAATATGTGTTAAAAAGTGGGGGGAAAAAGTTGAATTTTACAGTGAGGCTTAAATTAATTTCTTTTGGTGAAATTCAGCTGAGTAATTTACTGGTGACAGATAGAAAACCAGCTCATGCTGGAAATTTAAGATGTGCTTCTCCCCAAGCAAAATTGATTATCTATTTCCTTCCTGTACCCATATGAACACAGCACTGTGAATGGGCTGAGACACAAAGGTACATAACATTGCTTTTTATTGTTTTATTTACATTTTCGGTTCTTTACAGAAACAAAATTAAATTAAAATAACCCAAATTTTAAGAAGTTTCTTTTGAACTTGATTCAATTTATTGTCTATTTTCTTACAATTGTGTGTATATATATATATATATATATATATATATATACATACATACACTAGAATCAACTGCTGGTTCCAAAAACAATGTGTAAGAGACAATTATTTTCTTTATATTTCTTAGAAATTTCCACTTCTGATTTAACCTATACAAAGACAGAAACATCAAGATGACTTTTTTATTAGATTAATTACAGATGATAGTGAAGAAGTAATACTGCAGAAGAGGTGAGTACCTAAAGGATGAAGGCCAAAGTAATGGGTGTTTCTTTTATGGCTGCATAGACATGCATAAATCTTAAGACTTTATTAGGTATTTGTTAAGCAAAGTGCTCCTTTAAAAAAATTGTTTTAATATGAAGATGAAATTTATTTCCTTATAGAAAGAAGCACTTTACATTAACTCAATCTCACAGAAAAAAAGCACAAAATATGTCTATAGAAAATATACTTCTATTGGTGCAAAAAAAATTAAGAGGTTAAATCAACCCAGCATTTTCTCTATCATCATAAACAGATTCAGGGATAGCTCAGAAATTTCAAAATACTGAAAAAAAAAGATTTTTCTTTGAGGTGCTCACTTCTGTTTTATATATGTTTGTGGAAAGTATCAATACTGGTAAGGAATCAAGTCAACTTAATTTTCCACCAGCTTGGAAAACCGGGCAATTGTAGAGAAAGGAAGGAAGTTGCTGCTGCTGAAAGGTCAGCAGTGTTTTGGAAACATGCCACTCTGTCAGAAGGCTAACAAAAAACAGTTACAAGCTCAAAATGGCCCATGTACTTAATGCAGAAATAGGTAAGAATTCTATACTCCACCAAGCCTGTCTGAAATGAAAACCGAGACACATTATAGACAATATAGATAAGATCCAGATGCGGATTTTATTTTTGTAGGAGGTAGGTTCCTACAAAAAGAAGCCATTCTTTCCTGCCCAGTACTCTACCTCATGTGGCTCTATAATGTGGAGCACCGGTGGATTTGGTTTTGGCTCGTCAGGGTGACGCACTCTCAGCCGTTCTGTCGCCATTGCCAGTTCATCAATAGCAGACACGTGATCCCTAAGGACCATCCAATACTCATGAAGTAACTGTAAGAAAACCCCACACAAATGAACAGCAGAACTGAATTGAGTTACACTTACATGACTCTGCTGTACAATGTAAAATAAAATGTGACAAACCTTTTGGAGAAAGAGATAATATTCCTTTACAGCATTCAGCCACAACAACTAATTATAAAGGAAAACAAGCATCATTTTGCCTGTTCTCTTTTCCAGCCTCTCTGTATAAACAACTATAAATAGCTGTCTCTCATTTCTTCTACAACTACTAGTATAACAATAATTAATGCAACTAAAACTTCAGAAACAAAATGCCTTGCAAAACAAAAAAACAAAACAAAACAAAAAAAACCCCAAATCCGGCTGAATAAAAAAAGTTATTTCACAGAGTATCACCCTTGTAACTCGGTGTATGTTAGAGTAGTACAGACCACTGAATCAGTATTTCCAAGTCACAACAGACAGAATTATAACACTGTCTTCATTCTCATTGGCATATTAGTCCCATCTTTTGTTTCCTAATAAAAGCCCATGAAAAAACGGTGTTCCTTCTTCACAAGACTGAACGTAAACTGAATTACAGAATGGATCAGTGTTGGATTTGCTGAGTCTTGCTACATTCTGATTCAAGTAAACAGATGAACACATTTAATTACATCTTTATAGTGTCTTAATAGATGCAATTACATTGCTTAGTAATTTGATTAGTAGCCAGCATAGCTTTTAGAAACTCTTAAATCATATATAAATAGTTTAAAATCAAATCCTGTAATAACCACCGTGGAAAAATTTGGTGTAGGCAAAGCCTAATTTCAGGAATATGACTTAGATGTGCTAATATTCAGCAGCAATTTGTTTATAATAAATTAAATGGACCACACAACTGTTTGATCACCATGTAGTTTACTCCTTTTTCCATGCTTCAAAGAGCTCCAGGAATACACTCCCTTCTTCAGTTAGCCTAGCATCCATTCGGTGAGCTTTGGCAAAGGAGAGCAGAGCTTTCAAGGCACGCTCAGTTTCACTGGTTGCCCAGAGCCCTCTGCTTGTGGTGGGCAAACGGTCATCAACAAGCCCTTCTTGGTCTTCTATCATCTCCTCGAATATTGCCATTTGGCCTTTAACACTTCAAAACAAAACAAACACAGCACTCAGCACTGATTTTGTACTTCCACATCCATCTATACTTACTCATCATCTATTTCAGCCTTCTTATGTATGATTAAAGGATAATGCAAACCAAGCAAATATAAACAGCTGTTTTATTACCTAATCAAAAGGTTGTTTTCGACAGTGACCTCTACCAATCCTAAGGCCATTTTTTCCACTCAACATCATCAATAGCTTTTGTAAAGGTTTACACATCTAAACCATGTTTCAGTAGTTATTAATGTCACATTCATTAAAAAATTTCAATTCTGATTGTTTATATAAGAAAGAATTGCAGTTAAACTCTGATGCAAAATTTGCTGTGTATTTCACTGTGAAAGAACCGTACAGCTTCCCCAGTTCTCTCCTTGAAAAATACTCGTAATTCAGAAATACATCAATTCTTCCTGATTCTAGCAGTCATGAGGCAACAGAAATCCCACTGATCAAGACTTCTCAAAATGTTTTCTCAGTAACCTCAAGACTTTTCAGTCCAATTTTGACATTGTGAGGGAGATGAGAGAAAGAAGTCCAAGAGAAAGCATGCAGAGAGCTCTAATCTATGTCTCTCAGTGCTGCCCACTCTGCATACTTCTCTGACACCTCATGCTGGTGTCACACTTCTTTCAGCTTTATCCTGAGATCTCTTCTATCATTGCAACATTGAATGAGGGTGGTATTATACCACTTGCAGCTGGACTGCAAGTAAGTATTTGCACAAATAGGACTATTAGTTAAATTAGCATACTTGTATTTATACACATACTTTCTGAACATGCCACCACTTCATTTCAAATGTATGTTCATATTACAGTGGCTTGAGAGAAAGTGGCATGTATTCATTCCTTGGACACCATTTCTTCAAATGAAATTTACACAGAAAACTAAACCTAAAACAACTGCTATCAAAGCCATCAGCAAGAAGTCGCTGTCGTTTGGTCATAAACTTATTTCAGAAAACAAACTAATTCAACTTTCATTTTTTCTAACAGTGAGAAATTTATAAAGCTATGAACTTACCTATGCATAAAAAGCTTTGACTCATATTCTGTGAACAACTCGTCAGCCTTACAAAAGACACAGCTTCAACACAGAAAACAGATGCAGTCAGAATTTAATCAGAAACCAAATTATCATAAGCCCTTAAACGAATATATAAAACTACACAAAATTCTTTAAAAAGAACAAAATAACAGTCATATGTACACCAATATAGCTGACATCAGAAGATTTTGTAAAAATAAAATCAAAGGTCATGATTCTAACAAATGGATCTGTGATATCTGTGTGCATGCAGCTCCTGAGGACGTAATAAAGATTTTAGTATGTTATTTCAAATAAAGGAAAATTTAGTAATATACATCTAAGGTATATTTTCTGTTTTCAAGACCTACTTGTTAAGTGGCAGTCTAACAGGTCGCAAATGGCAGATAGTGGCAGCCTCAATAACCTGCTTAGAAGGAGGACCTTCTAAGTTTTTCACTGCTTCTCTTACAATCTTCTGGAACTTCTTCACTTCATCCAGCTGGGTTGTGAGAAGGTATTGAAGGCCTCTGCAGTCACGAAATCTGATTTAAAGAAAAAGGGAAATTACTGTACACCAAGACACCAAATCCAAACTTGATTCAGTGTTTTAAAGTAGAAGATAAATAGATAAATAGAAATCTATGACAACATATAACGTTGGTACCACAAGAAAATGTTGATTCCTACTACATGCAATGCTGTCAGAAATCACTCCAGTGTATCCCCAGAGCTGATGCCTGGTATTTTCAGAACAGAAAGACTCTTTCCACGACTTGAGAGATATGGCCAAATACTAGTAGTGAACACCAACCTACAATATTCTGGTGCACGGTGCAAATCTACGAAAGGTAAACCATTGCACATACTTACAGTCTTAATTGTGTCTGCTAGCCAACAAAATGGTTTCCAATGCATCTGTGCAATTCACAGCAGACACATGCACCCATCACAAAAATACACTTCATTCAGCAAGTTAGCTTTCAAAGTTAAATTTATTAAATGGACACAACAGTAAACTATTTTCCTAAAACCTAGCTGCCTTTTGTGACTGAAGGGGTGTTGCGGTAGTGAACACAAACATGAACACAAGTTAAGCACTTCCCATTTTTCCTTACAGCAGAAGTCTCTTGCTGAAAGAAAGTGCATCATTCCTACAAGGTCTGACATTGATGTATAAGACTGTGGTTCTAGACAACATGGAAAGTTTGATCCAAAACATCCGTTTGGTACAGTGCAGAGAACAAAGCACAGGTTTAACAATACTAAAGCTTGGCATTCAGTATGACCTACTTCAGTAACGTGCATTTTAAAATAATATAGACAAAGTTTGCCTAACCAAGTAGTCCAAAAATAAATGTAAATTGCAACCACAAGTCTGCTGTTGATATCATCAGCTGCCAAGTAACACCAGCTTTATAAAAATCTCCCTCACTATAGCATGGATTAATCATATCCAGTACTCAAGAGTACTTGTTGTTTCTACCATTGACCAGTAGCACTTGATAAGACAGTGTTTTTTAAGTTTTTTCTCATATGCCAAAATAAATTGAAGAGGAAGTGAGTTTTATCCCTGTGTTATAAGAGAAAGTTTAGTCACAGATAGCTTTTTCAAAGTCATACAATCTGTAAGCGCAATTTAAGAAGATACTTTCTGAATATCTAATTTCAATCGAGGGGAAAAAAAATCAGTGACACAAGCTAACATACAGATGGATGCATAGGCATAAAAGTTTTGCATCAACATGCAAACAATCCTTTCCTCATTTATTTTGAGCAGCATGTGATGCTATCACTCTTAAATAACCATGACATATTCATATCCAGACTCACAGACTGGCTGAGGTTGGAAGGGGCCTCTGGGTGTTGTCTTGCTCAAATGCTCTCAGCAAGCAGGGAGACCTAGAGCTGGTTGCCCAGGACCATGCCCAGACAACTTTTGGGTACCTCGAGGAAGGAGACACCACAAACCTCTCCATGTACCTGTTCCAGTGCTCATTCACCCTCACAGTAAAAAAGCGTTCCCTGATGTTCAGAGGGAACGTCTTGTCTTTCAGTTTGTGCCCATTGCCCCTTGTGCCGAAGAAAAGAGTTTTTATCTTTACGTAGATTATTCAATAGAATTATGTTAAGTACTGAAAATAAAAGATACATTTACTTCCATCAAGAAGAAACTTCAACCTTTTGAAATCATGATGGCAGAGTAGTCAGAGTGGAAGATACATCTTTACATATGGAATTAAAATATGTATCTTAAGTATTTAAATTTATACACACGTTTTATAAACTTGTAGACAGATGTATATACATTTATATACACATATTTATATATATCATAAATATAATAAAAATGTATTTGACTAAAACATGATTCAGAAAGACTGTATTTAAGAGCATAAGTTCACATATTTGAGAAAATTGCCTGAACTACTAGAGCACTGTCCCTTCTGTCTCCATTTTCTGTGATGAACTTACAGACCTTCATCCAGAATGTACAAGAGGGGGAGTTAGGAGAAAAGGGTCTATTCAATCCTAAAATTTAGAGGAGACCATATTGCTCGCTTTATTTATCTAACTGGAAGGTACAGAGAAGACAGAGTCAAACTTTGATAAAAGGCACTTGGCAAAAGAACAAGAGACAATGTACACAAGATGCAACACAGGAAATATTAACTAGGTAAAAGAATTTTAATGTCTTTTCCACCAAGTGGGCCAAATACTGGAACAGGCTTCACACAGAGACTATTGAATCTCGCTCCTTGGAGATATGTAACAGGTCAAATCGCTGTGCAACTTTACTGGATTGAATGAGCATGGAGTCTGGACCTTAAGATGGGGGTTGATTTAAGGGACCTCTGAATTTCCCTTCTGAATTCATTACTCTGTAATTGAACTCAAAAAGAAGTGGTATAGTGTTGTCTTGAACATGAAACCAACCTCAAATTCTTTGCTCAGAAGAACACTGATGCTACTTCATTGTGTTATACAAGGATTTTCTGATATTGTCTGTCTACTTTCCATTTAAGCAAGCCAATTTCTTTTACAAGTTACTCAATTTTAATGTTATAAACTTCGGATTCTTCTTATTCAGCAGTTTCATGAGTATAGAAGACGGTAAAACCACAGTAGATAATACAGAAGAACATTTCAAAGAATGCTTATCTAAGAGAAAACAGTAATTTTCCTGCTGTTCTTTCCAAGTCTTCTATGTAGTTGCACTTTTTCAGGGACTGGTTTTGAAACATAATTGCAGTCCAGACGCTCTGAAGCAAAAATGTCTGCTATCTAATTGCAACTGCTAGCACAAACTAGTAATAAGACCTGAGTAGATTTAACTGTATTTAAGAGCGTATTTCAGTTATTCCCTTACTTCTCTGCCATGGAGAGTTTACTTGTCTGCTGTTTGTAGTTGCAGGTTATTTCGTTTTGCACACGTTGAACAAGCTCCTCATCGATGGCATACTGTATGGCTGTCTGGATGACATCCAACCACCAAGGAGAACCTGAATGTATCTGTATGAAAAATAAGAGATTTATCCTTGAACATTCAACAGAAAATCAATCTACTCATTGCAGCAGAGGCATACACTGCTCTTTAAGCCGTGGTCAAACACTGGCTAATTCCATGAAAAATGGAGGATGAGAGTGTAATTTAAAAATATCCCATCTTCTCTTGACATGTAAACACATAACTAAGAAACTGTCTACATTCTCCACACCTTTATATTCCTTCAGTAGAGTCAGATTCACCAAGGCTATCTAGATAGAACAGCCACACAGAGATACTGTGATCTCAAAGTTCCTTCCTTCTCTCTCTCAAAGGGAGATGAAAAGATCATTTAATCAGAGAAAGCAAAGTTCCCTGTAAAATTAATAGAGCAATACTCAAGTGACCTTGTAATTTTAATAGGTGTAAGAAGATAGACAGCTAGAGTTCTGGATAAGCAGATGAAAATAATATTATTTTAAAATGCTGAAAGTCAGAGACAAAACCTTTAAGAGGTACCTGCCTTTCTTTGAAGTTCCCGAATGGTTTGAAGGACTGGTTGTAAGGCCTGATGGGCTTCTGCAACTTCTGCGTTGGATTTACTCATATAATGCTGTCGAAGTTGTTCTGCCTGCGTGGAAATAAGAGCTTAAAGTATGCACAAATCATATCTGTGAGCATATCTGCAAATGTAAAAATTCTCCAGCTATCAGTATTCTTATATGGTCACCTATCTATGTGCTAGCACCTATATTTATAAGCAGTATTTAGCAACATTTTTTTCCTCTAGAATCCAGCATTTATTAGTAAGTAAAAAAAGAAAACATTTGAGAAGACAAATTACTATAAAGATGCTAACTGTGCAACTTTGCTTTTGGGTAAGCCCAAACAACACAATAGGAATACAATGCATTACAAAAGGGAACTGGAATATAACTCAGCATTCTTACTTATCTGTGTTGAATAAGCAAACAATAAAGATTCCAGAACAGTCTGAGAACATGACAATTGAACTTACCTACATAAACTTACTCATAAAGTAACAAGAAAGGCTTAAATTTCATTACATGCATCAGATATAATTTTTTCAGAGAAATTACTTCTAACAGTGAAACCCCCCTCTTGGCATGCAAGTGCCATCACTATAAAATAACTTAGCATGCTTTTATATTTTAACAACTGATGAAAAAACAAAAGTAACATGTATATTGCTATGCTACATACAGATTTCAATACATACATTTATTTTGTGCATTTTAATGTCTATTTAAGTAAGTTTTTGTTTGCTACTACTAAGATAGTACATTGTTATTACAGAACCCAGTTTACCTGGAGTCAACAGGACTCTCGGGTACTTAGAACAGCTACTGGCAAAAGGTAGCTATGGAAAACTACCTCGGCATCATATTTACAAACAAAACAAATTTTCTAATAGCTTTCCTTTTAATCAAGCCAGGATAATGCAGTATTTAAAAACTGCTAGAAATACAGGTCAATAAAAAAGAGGCAGTACTTCTATAAAACTTCTATAAAGCAGGTCCAAACTTTATATATTTAGGAGAACAAGGCTCATTAAAACACTGCTATGCTTACATAGAATTTGCATAAAAATGATAAAATATCGGAAGATAGTTAAATAATAAGATTCTCATCACCAGCATAAAACAGGAGAGGCTGGAAGAACTGGGCCTGTGCAGCCTGAAGGAGAGAGACTTAGAGATTACTCAGAGAACAGCTTCCCAGCAGGCAGAAGGAAATCACCAAGATTGGGAGCCCAGGCATTTTACTGAAGTACATGGCAAGTGAACAAGGGACAATGACTATAAATTGAAACAGGAAATAAATTCACAGAGAACCTCCCTACTATGGGATATATGAAGCACTGGAACAGGCTACTCAGTTATATTGTGAAATCTCTTTCCTTGGAGGTTTTAAAAGGCCAATTGGATAAAGCCCTGGGATACCTGGACAGAAATCTATGTCGATCTTGCTCTGAGGGGGAAGTTCAGCCAGAGATGTCCCAAGGTCTCTTTCAGCACACAAGTGACACAAAAAAGACATTATTTTGCAAATGCTGTCCTTACGTTCAGTGCAAGTAACCAGTGGGGAAGAGTAATCCCAGCTATTTTGCCAGATACTTCCCCAGTTAGGATTAAGGATATAGTTAAGCTTATGCATACAGAAAGTGATATACAGTAATTTGCTCATCTGGCCAAAGACATCTACAGAAAACTTGGACTTTTTGAAGTAAAAATGAGCAAAGCTAAAGAAAATACGAGGAAATAAAGGACTCAGAAGAATTCAGGATGACACATTCTTTACCAGTAACACCTATGAAAGTTATTTCCACAGGAACATGAGGGTGGGGAAACAACATTTTAGAGGTAAAAATTATTAAAATTTCCATAAAACACACTCATAACATAAGAGAGGCCACCAACATTGAGAACAGCAATATTGCATTGGATATTTCTGCTATCATCACATAGTAAACAACTCTTGAACTCTTTGTGAACTTATACGAAGTTTAAGGGAAATGCATGTAATTAACTCAAAAGCTATTTATTTTGAAATGAAAAGAATTATTACTTCTTTAGTTAGAGAAAATGCTGAGGGAGCAAAATATAAAAATGTGCTCTTCAATATTTTTGCAAAAATAAAATAAGTTTACCTCTTCTGCAAGTCGGCTATCACGCAAAGTCGGGGGGATTCCTGGGTGCTTTGCCAACAGTTCCATCAAATTATGTGTAGAATGAAGTCTCTAATATACAAAAAGTCAAGAGCAATCATGACAAAAACCCATTGCAACATTGTGTCAGGAAAAACTTGAACAGCAATGAAAGCTCACAGCAAGAAATTAGCACGCATTTAAAATCAGTTTTGTCTTTCTCTGCTAATCTAGAAGCATCTTATATAGAAAAGAAAGATTCCATTTCACATTTTACTGGTATAGGGAATGACAGGAAATGAAATATTAAAAAGACCTTCTTTAACATCTCAAAAGCAAATCAGCAGGCAAGTGTGATACCAGGTCATGAGATCCTATACCATATTCACCCTCCCAATGAAAACAGCCCTTGACTACTATGAAAAACAAATTCTTTATCTCAGAGCACTTTCTTTGGTAAATATCTTTTAGAATACTTTGAGGAAACAATTCATTTAGCCTATGTAAAGCAAAATAAAGTGTAAGGAAAAGACCAGATACCAAGAGCTGTAATAATTTTTCATATTTTTCATTACTCTGAAACAGAGGATACTGAAAAATACAACCTTTTGGTATACTTTTAGGAAAAATAGATTTATTATTAATATAAAGAAACCCTGCTCCTCTGGCTTCACCCTTTGTTTCTCAAATCAGACCAATAATACTACGCTTCCCGCAACCACTAATAACCTCCACTATCATAAACTTGTGCCCTTCTCACATCCTGGATTCTCTTCACCTCTGCCCTATTACTATCTTAGCCACTTAAGAGGACTGGCCAGCTGTGATTTGCCATTATCCCAAAGAGCTAATTCTACACAACTGAGAAGACTTAAAATAAGTAAAATTGTATTACACTAAGACAATATTAGGCAGTGTATATTTTGAGTGGGAGAAAAAAAACCAACTTTATTAGATTGCACAATCCAGTAGAACAATTTAATTAACAACCTATAAGCAGGTGAACAAGTTTATGCTAATACATCTATGCTAAGCAAAAAAAGCCACCAGGAAGTCACAAAGGAAAAGAAAGAATCAAAGAAGCACAACAGAGACATCAGGTGACCACATGCAACACAACCTTTACTTGCTCAGAGAAGCAAGTAAAGAAACAGACAACTGACCAGTTCTTATCTATGTGTCACTAACATTTTACATCTCTTATTATGCTGAACAAAATTTTGGTACATTTAGAACTGATAGTTCTTGAAGAACTATGAATATGTTACTTGGAGAACCATGACATTTTCTACCAGGCAAATATATTCGTATTTTTTAATAGTGTTCAAAAGGCATGAAGTCAAATGCCTGAAGAGAAAAGGGACTTCAATTCTTTTCCATGTTTTGATGCCCTTTTATCTTCTGCAGTGCAAATACTGTATTATTCTCTATCATTTGGCACATTAGTATCACTCTCAGTGCAAACCCTGCATTCTGTAATTGCAGGATGTAATATAACACTGTTAATGTGAGCAGTCACAGTCTCGTGCACCAGACTAGGAATTCAGCTTGTTAACTGTACTGCAGAACAGCAGGTGGAGATCATGCTTCAGGGACATCAAGAAAACTCACAAGCAGGTTTTTAGAAACATGGTAGCTTTTTATTTTTGTAAAAAAAAAGAAATAAGCATGAAGATCATGGGACAGATTCCTATCTAAAGATCATGATCAAAAGACTGTGATCATTACAGCAGGCTGAAAGAGTAATTCAGCACACCACTGGGAGGAAGCAAAGACTGACCTGTTAAAATAAATCTAAAGTATTCCAGTTCTTAACTACGTCTCTTTACATTTCAATGCTCACTCACTTGCAAGGAATCTGTTTTGAGCTTTTCTTTGTGCTCTTCAGATGATCTTAGTACTTCTCTGTACAGCTCCGCAGCCAAAGCATATTCTCCTGAATTAAAAAAGAGTAGCAAAAACACAGACATATTGTGTTGGTTTTTAAATATACAAGCAGCCGTGACCTTACAAGTATTACATTACTTCTAACATACTAACATATTCTCAGTCTGTATAGTAAGAGCCTGTCTTCAAGCAATTCTTTCCTAGTCATTCCATACCTCCCCATCAAAAAATTGGTAAGAGACAGAATATGATATTGTGCAAAGACTTATGCAGTTTCCTGACTAAATATATTTTGTGACTATAAGATCTGTAAACCTCTTAATCTTAAAATATGTGTTCACGGTTGCATAAATCCAAAAACACCTCATTTTGCACTTCTAAAAAATCATCTGCAACTCACTGCAGTGATGGATTGCTTAATTTGCACTGCAAACTCACTCCTCAAGTGAAAACCATGAAAGTTGCGTCATACTTCAGAAATGCAGAAATGATTAGGTACATGCAGGGAGCACAACTATTAATGTAAGCTGCCAGCATCACAATCACTTCTCAGAAAATAGCTTATATAAATTAAAAGGAAATACAAAATTGAAGTTGTGTATGGAAAAGCAGTGAAAAAATAAATCCATTTTAATTTTCTTTTTTCAGCTGATGGAAATTTATTTAGCCAGTAATACTCTTAGACACTCTTAAAACATGGAGAAATACAGATACAAGAAATGCATAAAGACAGATAACAGAGTAAAACAAAAACCATCATCCTATCTATATGGAAGTGTAACAATTCTATGTCAACAAGATTTGCTGCTTCTTACATTGAAAGAGTTGCATTTGTAAGGGTGTAGTCACGCAATATAGGATTGCAATTACTAGGAACCAGCCAAAAGCTATGTGCTGAATTTACTAGCTTGAAGCTTGTCAGGCCTCTCTTGAATTTTTCTTGACCTGCCTGAACCTTTTACTTGGCTTAGCTGTGATAGCAATTTCTGTAATTCGCTAGGTGTCTATGGCTAATTTTTCGTATTTTTTTAAACTCTATTTTTTGTTTACATTTGTGTGGTACAAACACAACTTTATATAGACAGCAGTAACAAGCAGTTTTCCCATGTAGAATGAGGTATTTACAACTACCACAATGATGTAGTGTAGGGAAATACAGGCCTAGTAACAATAGCAGAGGCTACTGACAAATAAAAATACAGGATGCAGTGTAGAGTACAGCCATGGGATGCTAAGAGATGGTGCACAGGCTTGGCAGTGAATAAGAAAGCCATGGCTATAAACAACTCACCCACAGTCAAAGAAATGCAGACTTAGAGCTGGACAAAACTGGTTTTAGGGGCAACAAAGAGAACAAAGAGAGTATGTAACATTTATAAAAGGCATAATGTACACTAAATTTGGCATTTTGATGGAGCTGCAGACCAATGAAAAAAGAGAAAGATGCAAACGTGCTAGCAAACATAAAAATGACCCTCACTGGATTCTTGTGTGAGGAAGCAACCATCAACTTAAATATCTTATTCCTCCTGATGAAGGTAATGACAACTGGCAATTGCACTGCCACCACATCTATGAAACCATTGACCTCAGGGTCCAGATGGGCCTAAGTAGAAAGGTGAGCATAAAAGCAGGACAAGAAGCAGAAACAACTAAGTGTGATTGTTACCCTTTTCTTTGCCTGAAGCAATTTGGACTAATAATGATTAGACCTCTAAGTTTTCAATTATATTAAGACTAAATTCATGGCCTCACCTTCATGTAAGGTGTGCTTCCCCCTTCCTGATAAAGAAGACTGAGTGTTAAGGGTAATACTGGGGGAAGGAGTTACAGACCAGAACTCTGCCTCTTTTGTCCAGCTTTTGTTTCTCATCAGACAAAATTTTTATCAACCTGGTTTTCAAAATAGGCCAAACATAATTTTTGCTACTAGTGTATCTTAGAAGCATTACATCTGTAGGTAACTCTTTTTAAGCACTTAACTCTATAGAAACACTTATCCTCCATCCTGCAATCATAATAAAGTATTTCAAACCTACTAACTATAGATTAAAGAATCTGAATATAGTCTTTTTGTGAGGCAAGAAAGAGAAAAGGCAGTTTGCCTGTTCTCTTTGAAGGAAGACTTTGACATGAGCTGGAAAAATTCAAACAGCATCTCAACCTTAGAAGAACTTGAAAAAGAGGCATTTTTACACATTCATAACTGAGTAATTTTAATTTATTTTTATTTTGTGGGACACTCAAGATTCATGTAATTATTCTTGTTTCTCATTAAAAGGTTTTTTTTTTCCTTATAATTCAGACAAAATCAACATTGACAGAGCTGTCTAGCAGGGCAGCAAAAGGAATCCACAGTCAGCATAACAGTTTGCATGGCTGGGGGCACAAGGGAAGCCCAGAAAGCCATACTGATAAAACAAAAGCAGGTTAAGTACAATTACACAAGTATGACTTCTTTTAACCTTCCAGTACCCAGAGATGGAGCATATTCTTTACTCCTGTACTGAAAGGAGTAAACCATACACTACAGACCTTTGGCCTTACCTTTAATGATATGGATACCAGCTAAGCCATTAAGAGCACACACCAACTGTCTGTGAGCTTCTTCACACTCTGTTCGACATTTCTTTTGCAGAGATGCCAACAGTTCCTCCATGGTCATGGTGCTGAAAAGGAGACCAAATGGCTTGAATTTGAAACATAATCACAGTACTAGAGAAGTAAGAGGGTCATGCTGAGCAGTACAACAGATCATTACATGCATCCAACATACTGCAAATGTTTTTTTAAGATTTCTTTACTCATTAAAAAAAACCTCCAGCTGTCAGATTTTCTTCCTGCTAGAGCTTTACCCTAACTTGAGTGTGTCCAGAGGTTGACATTTCCTGGAACACAAAGAAATAAGAAGCAAGAAGAAAATTTGAACTTGGCAAAATAATTCTTCACGGGGCAAAATTTTTTTCTCTTTCTGTTAGTGGTGAACTGGAAACAAGTAAAATAGACCTCATTTTGTCAAAAGCTGTTCAGATGAAAACAGTTATGACAGACTACACTTCTACCCTTGCTACCAATCTAAATACAAAACACATGAAGTGTCAATGTAAACAAAATGTGTGAAATGAGAACAGAGAAGACTAGCAAAAATAATTCTAAACTTCCTTTTCTACATTGGTCATATCTGCAAATTATGAAAGAATTTCACCAGAAGAGAATTAGCTTAACATAAAAATACCAGAAGTGGAGAGAAAAGAGAGAAGCAGGAACAGAAATGAAGAAGATGCAAGAAGGACACTTGAAGATACCTTGGAGTAAGGCCACAGGCTAAAGAATCAGAGGACCCATATGACGAGACAGTAAACAACAGCAACAGCCTACAACAGCTGACCAGAGGCTGCTCCTAGTACCAATCGCTGCTGTTTGACCCCCTCCCTGCTTCTCAGCCCCATTCACCTTCAGGAGAAGCATTTATTACTTGGTGTCCAGCACTGTAGAGTAAGAGACAACATAACTCTTGCACAGACTGGGCTCACATAATATCAGAAGGCTACCCTTGCCTAGGCCTTTATTTTACCTTGCTTGCAACACTGTTCCAGTTGTAGAAACTGATGCTTGGTTTTACAGTACAGTGTTACACCAGAGTCAGTTTTAAATCAATGTAATCATTATTCATAATTACTGAATCCTGCAAAGGCAATGGTAAATATACATAGAACCTCCATATGCTGATACTTCCACCATTGCTACCCACCTTTTATTTTCAAAACAATCAGCAGTTTCAAGGAAAATTTTAACAGCAAAAGGATAAAAATATAAAATACTTTTAAAATACATAAAATAGATTATTTGATACACAGTCTGATACTATCAACTAAGGCAAAAAGAAGGGGTTTTTACTCAGTTAAACTAGGGGAACATAGAAAAAACTCTTCTGAGAGCATGTTTTTTTCTGAGTAGATCTCATTGACTGCCTTCACTACACAAGTGAGGAAAAAGGCCATCTATCATAGAACAAAATATGTTCCAAACTCAGGTTTTTATTCCAGATCCATGTCTCTTATCTATATGCTCCAGCATAAAGTTTCTTATTTCAGTAAATTTCTCTTATTCATGAAAGATTCTAGCAGAGAATTTTCTCATTATTCTCCTACATAGAACCAAAGACAGGAACCAAATCTTCTCCCTATTCTGGGAATGTCCACTGCTGCAGTAGAGTTTGGTTCACGAAAAAAGTATAGGTATGCAAACAGTGTTGGGAATTGACTTTTCTTTGTATATGTGATTTTTAAGAAAGATTTAATTTCCATTGCTGGTTTTTCCATCAGTTACTACGCAGCTGTCACTGTGCAACCATTCCACCAAAATGAACACAGTGCAAAGCTGTTCCCACCATACTCTGCTCAGTTTACTTATCTTACATTTATACTACACTGGCTCGTTTTAATGCAAATAATCTTATATGATGGGTGGGAATATTGATTTCTCCTATGTTTGAGTCCTTGCTTCCACATTAGCAGACTGTTACAATGAGTGCTACAGCACAAACTATTGGTCTCTGCTCAAGCAGGTATAAAGTCAGCTTCAGCTGCTTAGGCACTGCAGGTGCCCTGTTTAAAAAAGAGCAAGGAGTAGGACACAACTTCTTACAAGGATTGAAAGAGACTGAATAGAATGGATGGACCAGGAAACAGTAGCAATAACACTGGCAGTACTAACTTCTAAGTGACTGAAAAAGTAGCAGCCACATTTCACAGAAGGATTGGCAATATGCTTTTTTTGTTTTTTTTTTTTTTGGTCTAACAAAAGTTGAGACCAAACTGGTACTTGCAAAGCACTTGTGGGGAGCAGATGATCTTGAAAGCATGCAAATAAAAGAGCATTTGAACAGCTTTCAAGTCTGGATGCACATTTACAAATCCTGCAATCTCACATAAACATTTTCTTTGAACTAACGAATTATTTCATTCTGTTGACTTATTGTTCTCATTCATCAACATGAGTTTTGTACGAGACAAAAAAAAAAAAGGCAGTGGGCTTATTTTAAAACAAAAAAGAATCTGGTTTGTTTCACACTCGGTTACCTGCAACACCCTAGTCATAGTAAGGTTAGAATGCCACTGGAGAATCAAATGCCTTCAGTACTATGTTCTTTAACACAAGAATTACACTAATGACCTCACTGTGATGCATTCAGCTTCTGAGGTCAGATTACCTTGGTGTGCTGTAGTTGTACATTTAACTAAAGAAGTTTAAATTAGGCTTATTTGAGGACTGTACAAGAACTTGCACTGCTGGAGACAATCAACGTTTTGCTTTGGATAAAGAAGGCAATTTAATAAATGACAGAAATTCACCTTTTCTGTAGTGGCAGGAACTCTCCCCGAACAGCTTGTGGGTGACAGCAGGCCTGCCTCAGTCGTAGCAAAGGGTATAGAATAGAAGTCACAGTCCTTCTATCTAGGCTGCTAAGCTTAAGAGTCCAGTCTGAAATCTTCCTGAGTTTTGCCAACGCATCCTGGCAGCACACCTCGTGCTGGCGATGGTAGAAGTGTCTCTCCACAGGAGAGAAGTGAAGCCAGTGTATATTTTCTGTCTGAGGGGGGATTTGAATCTGAAATTAAAAAAAGAAAGTAAGTAATTTGTAAATAAAACTATTGATAAATGATATTATGGAATTCTAAAACTCAAAACTTTTCTTTACTTGGTCAATCACATCCTTTTTTGCTGATCTCCACATTATCTTCGCAATTAGACTGTAGAGAGGTCGGGGATTTTTCCTGCAATAAGGTCGATATAGTAGCTGGTCCCACCAATGTTTGACCCAGTAAGGATCAACTCCAAGAAAGAGGACTAATCCATACAAATCTGGCAAGAAAATAAAATGTTTGAGTTTTAATACTTTGCAATATGTCTCAAAAAAAATTAACTGTCATACATAGGCTATCAGGCATAAACCATCTCCATTCTGGCCTTTATCTTTTGCAATTATTTTCCAGTCATCCCTCAGCAAAATTTTCAAAGCGAGACAGGGGACTGGGTGGTGGAAGGTGAGGGTTCTCTCCTTTAGCTCATTTTTGATTTCCACACAACCTGAGAGAATATAGCTATTTGTGAGACACCTTCCTAATTGCAAGTTTAGCAGAAGAGAGCAAAGAATTTAAACCCATTCAGAGCAGAGACAAGAGGCAGAAATTACATGACTGCATATGGTTAACTGGGTTTGCCAGGTTTTTCTAAACCAATATTGCTCAGCATCGTTACTTCAGAGCCTGCTGTGCACCAACTGTCTACTGCCCACAATCCTAGAAGGGGCTGCAATTCAGAAGAATTTTCACTTCTCTACTAATGCATAAGAAATTAACAAAAGGCACTTCAATTGTTTTCTTGCTAATTAAAAGAATACATCTTGCTAATTCTACCTAATTTAGAAACCTGTCACTTTTTGGAAGGAAATGTAAGGACACACTGACTTTAAACTTCTGTCTAAATCTTACTGGAAAAATACAGAAGCACATTTAAATGCTGCATGTGGAAACTGCAGAAACAGAGATATGTGATGACATACTACAGTACTTGAAAATCTGGTGGCTATATTCCTTATTCTGTTAGCTTTATTGTAATTCAGTATTCAGCTGAAAGCATCAAGACATTCACCAAATACATTATAGACTACAGGAAGAAAAATCCTGGGAATCATTCCTGTGCAAGAAGCAATTGTTTAGGCAGAGGTCCTATCCCACTGCATTACAGCAGCAGTGGCACAGACTGAAATGAGTCAGCAGTTTTCATCCCCAATGTGATGGGGGCTGCCTTAGTATAGCCTGAGAGTCTGCCAACATGCATTATCAACTGTATGACATTTCAGGTAAGTATTAAATCAACACTATCACACACAGGGCCTTGAAGGAGTTCATCACGACACCAAAATCCATCACTTCTTCCGGCAGCTTTACTATATTAATGATTTATTCTCACAACTATTACATGTAATTATAAATTTAATTCACAATTCCATAATGAATTAATCTAAAATATTGATTTTTACAACTTAGTATCCAACAACAGTCCACAAAAGCTTACACTGATTTATCCACTTCTAAACACATTGCCTCAATGTGTACCATATATTCCAAAATCCATCAGAGAACACAGGGAGACAAAGCAGATAGTCAGCTCCCTTTCTTTTATTCTATCTCTCTGAAGCCTGTCTACAGAAATTGAGCACCACATAAAAAAAAGACAAGATAAATGTCACCTGCTAACATACAGCTATCTACTCCACACATCTCAATTCATTAAGTCCTTACATAAGGACTTACTTGAGACAATTTCATAAGCTTTATCATGATTTTTAGAATTTATATTCATGGCAGTGGATGCTTATAGTAGAAGATACAGAGCTATGAAAACAGCAAATACAGCTTTGTTTGCTGTATTTGACCATTCACAGGACTCTGTAACCAGAGAAGACTATCTGCAATAGAGAGGGGTTAATATTTATTCACTCTGCTAATTGAAAACTGAAGAACACACTTGAATCAGCTATTAGACATAGAGCTTCTCTGCTCCCCAAAGTATTTGTCTAGCCCAGGGAGACAAAGATTTCAGTTCTTTGATTGCTATATTGATACATGTATTGATGGTTTTATTATCATGCTTAAATTTTATGGCTTACAAAGTTAGACTACCTAATGAATTCAGAACAAAACTAGCAGACATTTTAACTGCTTCAAAACCCCACCTCCTTATCACCATAAGGAAATCCCACAGATTACAATGCTACATAAAATCTCACCCTCTAATCCTCTCTGCACAGGAGTTCCACTGACACACCAACGATTGATTCCACTCAAACGGAGTGCCATTTCAGCAGCCTAATAAAAGGTAGGAAAGGAAAAACAGAGTGGAACACAGTCTGACAACACATGGATCTTATTTTTGAGAAGCGTGAACATCTTTTCAAAATGTACCCTTAGACCTAGAAGAAGCATTGGTGCAATATATTATAAAAAATACATAAAACTTTTGATCTTTTTGGCAACTAACTGAAAGCTGATAAAAGCCACATCTTCTTCCAAGTAATCAAGTACAATTAAGGGTTCACAGAAGGCAAACAAATAACAAAATAAACTGTATGTTTAAAAAAAATTAAACATTAAAGGTTTTTAATGTAAGGCATTATATAAGTAGTATTTCTGTCTTCCTGTCTTGGGCAAAAAGACTGGACAAACACTAATTAAAATAATCCCCCCAGCAGACTGTATCCATTGAGTTTGCAGACAGACTGCTGACTATTTTAGCTTCAAGACCCAAAGGACATATCTATGCCTCTGAACCACATCACTGAACAAGGCTAGTGTCTTGTTTGAAACTATCAAATACCATATACAACATGATGACCTAGTTCTTTAAACTGTCAGTATAGATTATGTTAAGTATTTTTTGAGCTGGATATACTTCACAATCTGCCAAAATTTCAACAGGAGAACCATTTAATAGTAAGTATCTCCAACAGAAAATTCACTTCTAAAGAACAAGGGACAAAGATAAATTACATGAGTGTACTCTGAACATTGAGAGGGGGAGAGGAAAGGCTACTCTATTATTTACAGAAGCTTGTCCAAACATTTTCAAGTTAAATGAATTCATGGGCAGGAATGTCATACCTTTGCAGTAGTGCATTCAACCATCTGTGCTTCATCGAGGCAGATCCTCCACCACTCCACTGCTACCAAGGGGCTGGGGATGGCCATGTAGCGCTTCTGGTTCCGGAAGCGGCGCCCGTCCTCGCTGTTACTGTGGGGAATGTCGACGTAGTTGAGTTCAGTGCGCAGGACGTCGTACGTGGTGATCACCACCTCCTGCTCCGCCAGCATGTGCGGCTGCAGAAAGCCGTGCTTCTTCACACCCTGGTACACCTACAGACATTCACAGCCAGCAGCACAATAGCAAAGAAGGGAGATAAGAGAGGCTTTGATAAAAATGCCAAAATATCAGTACAGCTTAGTATGTCCATGCTTTTAGCAATGTTGTTCATATAAAAAAAAACAATTCAAAAAAATCTGTATTCATATAAGAGTATGGTGGAAAATTCACCTAAGTAACCTAATAATAAATACTATAGAGTCATGGATGTAAAATCTGTATGCGTAATTTTTTGTGACTTGGCAAAACATTTCTTTCCTCCTTCAAAGGAGAGAGGACTTCATAATTTTCTACAACAGTTATTTGTTGTAGCAGTTGTTTGAAGATTAGGTATTCTGTAATGTTGTACGGAACAACATTTTGTGAGTCACTGTTACACATTCAGTCTTCTCTCCCTTACTGTAGACGTATTATCTTGCTCCCAAAAATTTTACTCACTAAAATTTAAAAGGATGACAGAGATATGCATCAAAACCAGAAATTACACTCTGAATAAAGTTTAACCTACAGAGATTTAGGAAATGGAAAAAAATACCCTAGGTAAAAAACAATGCCTGTGTACTAACAGAAACCTTTCATATTGACATTTGTTCTATTATCAGAAGTACTTTTCATAATGTTAAGCCAAATCCCTTTAGAAACATACTGAAGTTAAAATAACTGCTTTTTACCCCTTGATGATCAGCACATGATTTCACTGTTAATTTCACTCTTAACCCCAGTTTTTCTCCCAGTAACAATCTTGCTCTACATTTATGCATATGGTAAGTGTTTCTGTCAACTGAAAGAAACATCTGCAGATAATTTCTGTTCAGCCCCAGAGTGGGACAATAGAGCAACACAGGTTATTGCACATAAAACAAAACAGAGAAGAGGAGCTCTTTAGGGGAAGAAAAAGGAAACAAATTAACCAAAAAGAGCATGCTCTCCAAAACAACCAAGAAGAAAAAAACAGCTGCCAAAGTCTAATGATTTCTTCAATTATTTATGAATAGATTTTCTGGAGATTTATAACTTGGCTAAGTTTTGGTTGTTTTCACAGCAACGGGAAAAGAATCTGCCATAAATAAACTGATAAATTTTAATTTCTTGTTCTATTACATAAAACCATTAGAATTTCCCCTGGATTTTAAGCAGTTGAAGACTAAAAAACACATTTCACATGCAATGCAAAAGTTGTTAACATGGGAAACTGATTGTTTGAAACATTTCCACTACTTTCATTTTACATTAGCAGAAAATAAAACACCAAAGTTTCATTTTGAAGCAATACTGAAAACAAGTCTCGCAGTTGGCAGTTAAAAGAAACTGAAAATAATCTTGTAGAATGGAAGATGTCACACTGTTTGAAGTACTGACATTCAGTATTTAAACTATTTTATTGTTACCATATCTATCTATTTCTGATATTTTTTCATCAAATTAAACTGGTATTAAACTTGGACTGGGCCCTAGGAAAACCATGTGAGTTTTACACATTTGTAAGCTCCTGCATGAAATCTAAATGGACTGCTCACACGAATAGCCCATTCATTTATATTCATTTGTACCCTGGGCAATTATGCGTAATGGCCGAAAGTACCAGATATATCCCTGAATACAAAGTTATAACAATCTGCTACTACTTTGTTCAAAATACAAGTGATTGATGGTTTTCAAAGCTCTTGATCGTACAAAGGTTCTTGACTGCTAAAAATATGAAAGATAAAACCTGGCTGCATCAGTAATAAAATACTTGAATACTGTGATAATTGTATTTTAAAAAAAAACCTGTATAGCCATTTTTAGTCTAAGTATTAGACTAAACCTAATTAGGTTTATTCTAGTGACAGGGTTATTAGAAATCACATAAAAGGGCAACACATGGTCTCCAAATAAGCAACATCCTAATAAATTTGGCAGATGTTATAGAGACAACACCTAAGTTGCAATAGTATTGTTTTCAGTAAACACCAATGCCCAAGATCTCTTTTATAAAGCTTGAGAACCAGAAATGCAAAACTACAGGCTTTACCTGTGGAAACATTTTTTATCTAGAACAAAAGGAGGAGCAATGGTCAGAGAATTGTTCAAGTACAATTGTACAGTGAGACAACACTCAAAGCACCCACAGGCCTGTTTAAGTTCCTTGGTAGTCTTTCAAACAGCCTTCCCTCTCAGAAATCACATGCTGCTGCAACTGCACAAAAATTTGCTTTCAGCTGCTATACAAGCTACTGATTATCTCCCAGTGACCAACTAAAACAGAAAAAAAGAAAAGAAAAACGAATTGCAGACTGTCTTTCTGGGACAACAATGCACATAATTCCAAAGCGTTGGTCTAGCAGCAAGAAATGTAGAACTCTAACACAGAGATCAAAGACCTCTGAACTGCGAGTGATGCAGAATATCAGACAGGAAGTCCCAAGCCTTGATAAAGTAACTCTCCAGAAGATGAAGCTATACAATCTTACCAGAACTCGAAGAGATGATGATCTTACATGCCTGTTGATCTCATCTACCCACTGGTGACAAATAGAACTCGGAGAAATTATCAGAGTCGCTCCTGTGGGAACTGGTTTCATTGCCACAAGGCAATGGGGACAGTAGAAGGGCCTGCTCTTCAGATTCTCCTCTTTGTAGTTTACACATTCTGCATGCTGCCACAGGTAACATTTCAGGCACTGCACACGAGCTTTGTAGTCAGCCAATCCGAGCTCACCACAGATGCATTCGAAACGATATTCAGAGGTATTAAATGGAAATACAGAACTGGCATGTTGCACACTACTGCCAGCACGTTCTTGGGAATGTGAGGACTGGACCTTTGGGATTTCCTGCTGGACATCAGCTGTAGTTTTAGAAACATCAACATCAGGATGACTGCCCATGTCACTGGAGACAAGGAGGCTGCCATGGAAATCAGGAGACTTTGGGACCATAGTTTCTTGTTTAACATCTTTCTCTTCTACAGAGTTCTCACGATTTGCTTCAGATTTCCCATAATTTTTACTAGTCGTACAATAATCATGTTCTTCCATGGTGATATTCTCCAGTGAAGCAGTTTTAAAGACCTTTTCAGATGTTACATCACTGTTTCTTGATTCTTTGATTTGAGTTTTAGCATCAATCAATTGCTTCTTCTGAGTGCTTTCTGAAGTCCTTGCTACCTACAAAGTAAAATTAACCAAGAATGTCAGACTTGCCCAGTGATGTTTAACATCTACTAGTGCTAATTAATGTCTTCATTAATGACATAGCCAGAGGGATCGAGTGCACTCTCAGCAAATTTGCAGATGACACCGAGTGGTACAGCTGACACACCCGGAGGATGTGATGGTGTCCAGAGAGACCTGGACAAACTTGAGAAGTGGGCCCATGGGAATACCGTGAGGTTTAACAAGACCAAGTACAAGGTGCTGCAGCTGGGTTGGATGAACAGATTGAGAGCAGCCCTGCTGAGAAGGGCTTGGGAGTACTGGCAGATGAGAGGCTGGACACAACCCAGCAATGTGCACCTGCAGCCCAGAAACATAACTGTGTCCTGGGCGCTGGACACGTGGGCAGCAGGGACAGAGAGGAGATCCTGCCTCCTATTCACTCTTGTGAGACTGCACCTGGAGTACTGCAATCCATTTCTGGGACCCCCAACATAAGGAGGGTTTGGACCTGTTAGAGTAAGCCCAAAGGAGGGCCACAAAAATGATTAGATGGCTAGAGTACCTCCCCTGTGAGAATGAGGAAAGGCTAAGAGAGTTGGAATCGTTCAGCCTGGAGAAGACAAGGCTTCAGGCTAAATTATAGCCTTCCCGAATTTGAGGGAAGGCTACGAGAAGCTGTAAAGGGACTATTTATAAGAGCACACAGTGACAGGACAAGGGGGAATAGTTTATAATGAAAGAGAGTAGGTTTAGATAAGATATTAGGAGGAAATTTTTCATTGTGAGACACTGATGCCCCAGCCCTGGAGGTGTTTCAACACCAAGGTGGATGAGGCTTTGAGCAACCTAGCCAAAGTGGCCTAGTGGAAGGTATCCCCACAGTAAGAGGGCTTGGAATTAGATGAGTTTTAGAGTCTCTTCCAACCCAAGCAACTTTCTCCTCACTTTTTTAAATGAACATATAAACACATCAGTACATAGATATTAAGGGTTTATATCAATTTCAAGTTTGAAGATTTGGTTAATGTTTACCAGTGTTTAAAAAACAACTTCACAGTAAGAACAATACCACTCCCAGTGACACTATTTTAAAAACCTTATGACAGAGGTAGTTAATATTTTAGCCCCAAATTTTATCTACTTATGATTTCTGCTTTATTTATGAGTGTTAAAGCAATTGCTGCAGTTTTCTTCATTTTCACCACTAAATCAGTGTCACTGAACTACTGCACAGTACAGCCGAGAGTAGCTCGCAATTGGCAGACAAAAGAACAGTCTTTGCAACATCCTTTGAAGTAACTACAGCAGCATGTTTTACCTGCTCTTTGGCTCTTTCTCGCTTCTTCTGTTCCTTGTAATTCTTTCCCAGCTTGAAAGACCCAGCCAGACCATGTCCTTTAACTTGTTCTACCACCTGTTCTGCAATTAGTTTTTCTAGAGTTCTTTTGAGAAGCCGTCTATTTCTCTGCGTGTCGTACCTATATATAGAACTGATGTACTTAAATATTGCAATAATGGATGCTCCTTTCTTCACATTCATTTCCTTTACAGCTGTTAATATCATTACTCGTAAGCCTGTTTGAAGAATAAAAATAAAACAACTTACAGCTTTAGATAAAATGAAGTTACCTCACAGAATGTGTATTAAGGGAGCCCTAAACATAGCGTTCATCTAAAAAATGCAGACAGGCAGCAGTGTTGACAAGCTTTTCCTTGACGAAGCTCTATAGATTGCTGTTTTGCAGTGATTCTAAAACAATGTTGGATAGCAATTGAAATAAAATCACTCAATTTTCTTACTGAGGCATAAAAAAGACAGCTTATTTCATTTAAATGGATAAACTACAAAGACCTCTAGTTACATGGAGCTCTATAGCAAAAAGTTCTGAGTTAGAAACTTTACATTTAACTGTGGATCACTTGTTTGTAGCATGCAATACTACAAGACAGTGCTCAGCAAAAGAATAATTTCATTCTGAAGAAGTCAAAAGTTGTCTTGAACTCATAGCCAGTGGCGAACATAAGAATATTAAAAGCAAAATGTATTTTAGAAGTCATGAGAAATACTTACTGGGATACTGTATTTTTTCCTTTAATTTAGGCTCCATTTCCTTTGGTTTTTTCTTTTTATTTCCCTCTAAAGGTTGAGGTGGGACAAAGAAGTTCACAAGCTTACCCTAATGCAGACAACATTAAATAGTTATTAGCTCATGTCTCTTCACAGTCATTCTGACCTTCATTAATCTCCTCACATTTGAAAGCAAGCATGAGCTGCTGCAAGTGTATGCTCTGATCTCACTAATTTGCTCAGATAGCTCATTTTTAATGTACAGAGTGACACATCATTCAGATTAGTTTCTCTGCAAACAGTATCCTAACACAAAGAGCAGCTCTGAAAGCCTCTTGGATCCGCCACCTCTTTAGCATTAAGTTGTAGGAATCTACAGCTCTAAGTGATTTAGGTTCCTGATGGAGGAGGAAAAGCTATATTTAATTTATATTTAATATATAGCTAGAAACAAAAAAGGAGGTAAGCAATATAGAGGAAGAGCCCTAGTCAGCTGTATAAAAAGTGTATCTCCTTTCAGGGATTGCTTCTCAAAATTTTACTCTATTATTAGCATAATATATTAGCTAAGGTGTCTGTCCCAACTACTTACATCATGAAACAGTTTCAGTAACTCCAGCCCTACAAAAGCTCTGGTCTCTAGCTATTGTTGTCAGTCGCTGTCCAGGCACTTTAGTGCTTATACTCCTTCTCTTTGCGCTACTCGGTGCTGACTCTCTTATGTATTTAAGAATCACCTTATTCTCTCTAAGAATTGAATAATTTTAACCGATAAAATTACAAGCAGGCAGGAGATCGTGATGATAAATGTACAATGAAACTGGCTGTCATGATTTCCAAAGGATGGAATTCACAAAGTGGTAAAAGTTTACTTAAGAGTAATGGATCTTTCCCTTCAGAAAGAATTTTTGGGTTTAGTGGGTGTGCCAAGTTTTCACAATATGCATGATGAGGAAAGTGAAAAGATGGAAAGCTGTTGCTAAATAAGCTCATTTATTATACGAAATAGAGAGAGAGCAGAAATCTTTATTCAGAACATAAATTATCCCTATTTTAGCACAGAACCTATGTCTAATGGATGTTTGACACTCACCAGTTCAATGAAGTGAAGGAGAATTATCTCCAATGTAGTAAACTAAATTATGTATTTATACACTCCTGAAAGCCTGTCCAAACTATATTAACAGCATATTTGCCTGATAAAACCATTGAACAATGGTAAAGGATCAACAAGTTCTCATGCAAACTATTCCACCATTTATGCTGCCAAGTATCATGTCCTACTAAGGGAAAAACTTGCTCAGTAATACAGCTTTAAATATGGACTTCTATAAACCAGTAAGCAATAAAGTCAAGAGAAGTGCAGTTGCGTTCATTCTGAAAAGCATTTTCTTCATCATAACTCTCAACCTGGTTTCCTTACCTCAGGTAATGTCAGGTCATCTTGTTTAATGTCTGGTCCAGTATGATTCAGAATAAGAGCCAACACTTCTACTGTCTTTCCAAGACCCATCTCATCTGCCAAAATACCTCCAGGCCACTGGGGTCCAGCAGTTGGATATTCACGGATAATACTAAAATTCAAGTACATTCCCAGTAACTACAGAATGTTGTGACAGAGAAGTGTGAGTTCAGGGACACACAGCATAGCTTCAGCAAGGCAAAATTTGTAAGGTGAGGCATTATCTTTTATTAGTTAAGCTGAGATTAACAAAATCTAGCAAGCTTTTTGCGTGTATAAACCTGACCAAGACAAATATGCATGCCAGAATTTTTAGAATTTTTTCACCTCTTACTAGGCCTGGCCTTGCTAATCTTAGCATATCATAGCGTTAGTCTCCAAAAATTTGAAATATTTTTACATTCACATGTGAAAAAGATCTGAAAGTTACATAGGGAAAAATAAAAAGCAAACTAGCAATCAAAAGGTTCTATTCTAACCAAGTTAATGAGAAAAAAGAAACCAATTTAGTAATGCAATACCTAGAATTAATAGAAAGCATTATACCTTCCTTTAGACTTTAAAAACATCGAATCAGAAGATCAAAGTCTCCAATACTTTAAGTTTAAAAAATGTAAATATCAAACCACTAAATTAGTGACATTTTTTTAAGAAAAGCTTTAATAATGACATCTTCAACTTGAGATCTACACATTTACCTGTGCATTACATACTCCAATTTGTGCATTTTTTCAAATTAATGGTATCACTGTTCTAATTCTTTAATTGCTAACTAAAAAACAAATTCTGGAATATCTTATATCCTGCAGGATAAAGGTACTAACATGGTTTTCACAAAGTATAACCCTGAGGTGTTCTCAGAAAGAGCAACTATAAAAACATACCAGCCAGTAAATGGATTATAGTAGATTTTTACTCCATCCATAGTGATCACCTCCCGCCATAAGAAGTGCAGCGCATTTTCTATGGAGAAATTGTTCATGTTATTGCAATGAAGTTTCTCTATTAACAGCACACTCCTTATTCAGCCTTTTTGTGACATTAAGAGACAAAAAGCTGAAGTCCACCTCCACAGAGCTTCATGACCAACACAATACATCCACTGCTGTTCAGCAAGACCTACCTTATCATTTAGTGTACTACTCAAACAACAGCTTTTATAAAAATATTAATGAAACAATTCACAAAACTTCTAATCAAACAGCAAGGAAGCATTACTGCTGACAATACAATTACACTTTCCTCAATTATACAAGTTTTTCAGATGAATATACTTGCCACTACTAGGAGTACTTGTGTGGTTCTCTCGGTGAAGCATCCAGTTCACAGCCTCACTTTGGTATGGTCTCAGAATGGGAATTAATGCAGGATGCTGCACATCCTTTCTCAGTAATTGGATATCCTGCTGATGGGTGTGCCTTACAAAGTCATAAAGCTCTTCAATATTTTGTCGCTCTAGTTCCATGTCAGATTCTTCCTCATCTTCCTCCAGCTCATCTGCATACACCAAATAATTCAAGACATGTATTATCAATCAACTTGGGACAACATTTCAGTAAATTTTGCAGCAACATATTTAGTTTACACATATGAAAACAAGCAAAGCAAAGTGTCATTTAAACATATGCCAGGACTGTATCTGACTCACTAGCAGCAGTAGTAAACAATGAGCAGTTTAATCACTGAAATAAAGAAAAACACTGCAACAATAACAACAGTAATAATAATAATAATAATAGCAATGAAAAGGAAAAAAAGAGAGAGATTAAAAGAACCCAAGAAACAAGTGATGCACAATACAATTGCTCACCTCTCACCGATCAATTCCCAGCCCATCCCCAAGTGGCAACTGGTGGCTCCCAGCCAACTCCCACCAGTTCATAAACTGAGGATGTTGCTCTCTGGTATGGAATATCCCTTTGGCTGTCCTGGCCATGCTCCCTCACTTCTTGTGCACCTGCAGAGCAAGGACTGAAAAGTCCTTGACTTGGGGCAAGCACCACTCAGCAAGAAGTAACAAATCATTACAAACATTGTCACACTGAAACCAAAAACATGGCACTGATCAGCTACTAAGAAAAAAACCTCACTCTATCCCAGCTGGAACTAAGACACCTAAAAGTTAACATGCTATGGTGATCACAGATGTATACATAAAAAGCATACCTCCTTCTTTAGAATTTAGGTATAGAATGACCACAACTTATTTTTTTAATAAAGACCTTCCACTAAAAAATTCTCATTGGTACAGAATCACGAGTATCTCATGTTTCTGATTTAAATATTAATAAATGACCTTACAAAAAGAAGAAAAATTAACCTTAATTCATTCATCTGCTTAAGAAAATCACAGCAGCAGGACAACGTGTAATTCTCACCACTTGCATCACCGCAAAAATTCAGACAAGGCATACTTTCAAAATTAAAAACCCACCTCAAGAGATGTAAGCACCCTTTGGGACAGAAGACCTACCCTTCTTTTCTACCCTATAGGAAAAAAGGCCTTGTATTTATATTTTTCACATAATTTGGATATATGGGCATATGCAGCATTTAAGCAACATAGAACAAAAATTCATTAAAAATTCAAGGGTTGGCATTCTAGAAAACAGGTATGAAAGAATGAAAGACTTGGAGGACAAGTTTTAACATGTTTTAGCACTAAAATTAAAACATCAGTGTCAAAAAAACACAGACCAGTTCTAAGCCTAGCTAGCTTACAAAGAAATAAATTCACCCTGTAGAATTTTTTTATTAAGAAAAACCAAAAAACCACACCAAAATTGGAAGCAGGTCAAGGCTATCATTTTCAGCATAAAGTGACCTTAAAGTATATTTAATGTTCCAACAAAACAGCTAACAGCTGGCATAATTAAATCAATTTTTAATTTTGATGCCTCAGGCTAAAAACAAAGAGATGTACCTGGCAAAAACCAGAAAGCTGAATCTGAAAATAAGATTCAGGAACTGATACTAGGACTCTCTTTCATGAAAAGCAAAAGCTTTCTTTAGTTCAAATGGGTGGTGAAAGTGAAAAACTATTTCCAAAACAAAAGGAGGAAATTATACACCTATATATGGCAGCCATCGGTGCCTGCCCCTAATCCTTTTAAATCAAAGGAACAATCCCAGTACTTTCACAAAGGAAATAAGAATACTGAAAGACATAAGTTTCTACATATTAATGTAAACTATATATATGACTTGTAATGCAAAGAAGGCAATCAGAGTGCACATGTGAGTTACTAATGATCCAGTCAAATAAAAAGCACCAAGAAAGCACTCAGCTTTATATATTAAAGAAACCATTCAATGGGATCCTCTAATACATACCACTCACTTTAGGAAAGGAACAGAAAATTAGAGTGTTTGCAAATTATAACTTTGATCAATGAATTTGATATATAATGACACCTATCATTATACTTGCTAAAATAACAGTCTTCAAATCTCACATTTTTAAGCACAATAAATTGACTTCTACATAAACTAAGTCTATCCAGCATTTTACAGGAGAGTAAAGACTACAGTATCATTTAAAGCAAATTTTAAAATACGATTAGATTTTTTGTACGTATCTTTCTTATTTTGTTCATTCTTTCAGAGATTTCTTTTTCATGATTAAATGGTCCTACATACCACAGGGATTTTGAAAAGGATGCTAGGTAAGTTTATCCCTCTCTCAGTTACTTATTCATCAGTGAATATTTAATTATACTTTCAACCATTTCAAAATGTAATTCAGTTACAGAGGTCTCATCTTAATCTTTTTTACATTTGAGAAACAGATGGTACTGTACTATCTAAAAAACCAGTTTCTCTGACGCTTTTCAAGTACTCTATTTAATTCCTTCAATGACTGAACTACAGTTCTGCTACTGCATCTGCAGTAGGATCTTTCCTTTCCCAGACTGCAGTACGATATCCGCATTAATGAAAACAGCCTAGATTAATGGAAACCTTGTTGCATCATATATGGTAGTAAATAAACAAATATCAAAACCATCTTTGTACAAATAATTTATTCTTCTTAAAACTGAAGGCAAATGGTATATGATAAACAGGTAAGATGGCAGAGAACATCTGGTTGAACAGGGAGATTTGCTGAGATTCAGGGAAAACAGAGAGTTTATGACCTTTGGAAGAAAAGGTTGGCAGTTCAGGAGGACTACAAGGATGTTGTGAAGTTACTGTACTTTGTTTTGGGTCCCTTCCTACAAGAAAGACATCGAAGTGCTGGAGCATATCCAGAGCAGAGCAACGGAGCTGGTAAAGGATCTGGAACACAACTCTTATGAGGAGCAGAAGGAGCTGGGGTCGTTTGGAGAAAAGAAGATGAGGGGGAGACCTTAGTCCTCTCTACAACTACCTGAAAGGAGGTCATGGTGAGTTGGGGGTCAGTCTCTTCTCCCACGTAACTGAACAAGAAAAAATGGCCTCAAGTTGCACCAGGGGAAGGTTAGATTGGGTAATAGGGAAAAATTTCTTCCCATAAAGTGTTGTCAAGCATAAGAACAGGCTGCCCAGTGAAGTGGTTGAGTCACCATCACTGGAAATATTTAAAAGACATGTAAATGTGGCACTTAGGGGCATGGCTGACTTGGCAGTGATGGATTAAAACCTAAATGATTCAATGATTCCATATTAAATATTTTATCACTTTTTTTTCATATTACTTAATGCATCTATGCTATCCTTGTCACAACATAGACGAACTTCCTGCCACAGTCTCAAAACCATCTAAAAGTATATTAACAGAATTAACTGAGCACAGTGAGGAAAAATATATTAAAACTAAACGTAGCAGTAGAGAGGTCATACCCCTTATTTGTGTAAATCCTTGTGCACAACGCCACCAGCACGAGAATTTGCTCATCAGAGGGGAGAGCAAGAACCTTCATGTTCATGTTATTGTACACATTTCACTTTAGATGGATATTGGTAAGTGTTAAAATATATACTTAAGCGTAATTTTACAAAACCTCAACTAATTCTGTTTAAAAACGGATGGAATTTAAACTGAGACCAAGTTGTTAGAAACATTTAAGAGAAATGCATTCATCAGCACAGAATCGAGGCTATATTATTTTATGCTACATCACTAAGTTCATGCTCCAAAACTGTTAGGAAATGAAACTAGTTTCACAGTGCATAATCACCTGGGGTCTTCCCTCACAAATACTTTTTATGTCTGTGACATGCTTTTTCTTAATTCAGAGCAGAACATAATGCACACTATGAACCTACATAGTGGTTTAGTGATCATGTTTTGTTCTCTAACACTTCCAGGGTAATTCTTTACTTTTGATTTGGTTTCACTAACACTGAACATGAAGTTGATGCATTTACTGAGCTATACTCCTACGTACTAATCAGCAACCCTGATTGTAACAGTTAGCAAAGAGACCATAATTTTTTTCTTCTGCATTGTTTTCTATTCACGTATTGAATTTCTACTGAAACTCCATTGCCTAGTCTGCCTGCAAGCTTTCAGTCATTCTTCATCTCTGTTATGCTGAATAATACATTTAAATATTGTTGACACAGTTTCACCAACCATTCTTTCTCTCAAAGCATTAGTAATACATTAATCTGCACATGCCTTCGTAGGACTTGACTGGTGATTTGCAATCATTTATTTCTGTTCTCCATGTCAGCTATTTTACTTCGTCATTTATATGGCATTCATTGGCGTGAAATCAAGACTATTATTATTTTACAGCACATAAAAATGTACATGCTGAAAAAGGTCAGAATCTTTACCAGCTGGCAACATAGCTCCTTTACAAACCTGAGCTGCTTGCATGGCTACTGAAAAGTTAAGGCATGACAACCCAACTGCTCAGGTCCACGTACACGTCCCACTAATTTTGAGGGGCATGTCTTGCCTTTCAGAAAGTGCCTCTTCACCTGTAAGCTACGTTGAACCAGGTAGTTGATATAAACGCATCCTTTAGTGTACTGAAGAAAAATGCTCCAGATTCTAGCAGAAAATTACTTTGGACCTTAAAGCAAGTTACCAGTCATTTTTTTCCACAATCTCTTTCCCCAACTCTTCCACAATGAGAAGATATGCAGAGAAGCAAACTGTGCTTTCTGCTACAGCATTACTTTTATTTCAGCACTCTATCATATGCCTTAGACATCTCAAGTCTATGAATTCTCTGGCAATTATTCTGCTTCTAATGCATTTATGCAAATGTATTTCTCCTAATGGATTTAAAACCACTATTATTCATTTCTAGACATTAAACTATTTATTCTTCAGACCTCTTATTGGATCTGATTTATTGTGCTTACAAACCTAAACTGACATATCTGTGTCAGTCAGACTTCAGTATTTGAAAGAATGATTTCTTATGTGCAGTATCTTCCCCACTTACTGAGTTATACTGGCCCATCCCTTGGTACATCCTCAAGTCTTTTCCTCACAGCTGCCCATTTTTTCTTTGCGGCAGGTAAGGATGTTCAGATTTTATTCTGTTAGCTCTTCCTTTTAGCTTCTCTTTAGCAAAGTTGCCTGATTTTTTTATACAACTCTGCCTTTTCTAATTAAGTGCAGTCACATTTGGGGTGGGTGCTCAGCTCCTATCACAAGAACACAAACTATGTATACTACAGTCACTGAATCAGTCTTCAGCCAAAATATTGACTCAACTCTACACTCAGGAACGAGACAAAGGTTGGTTGGGTTGGTCGCTTTTTCACAAGTTTCCTAAGACATCACAACATAAAGCCATTGTTTATCACCCTACGAATCTGTATTGCTAGTAAGTGTAATATGGCAAATATATTTTTAATTCTAAAAAGATAGCAAGGCCCATGTTTCTCAACCTGCAATGGTATATTCTCAAAACTCTCATAAAGCTGCATTTTGTAGTATTTTACATTTTAACTGCTTTACAATATAAACCAAAAAGAAATCTATTGCTGCAGTTGGGTGACAGGCCCTAACCTGGGAACAAGTTTTCCAAATTTAATTCCTGGTTCTTTTACACTGTTCCTGTATAACTCGGACAAGATCTGTAGATCTGTTCAAACAACCCCCACGAACTGGTGAAAACTGTATTTACTCCCAAAAAAGTAAGGATCCAAAACATCTCTATGGTTCAGTACCTGTAGAGAAGAATTATAACCTCTAATTTCAGCATAAACAAATTAGCATATGATTAATGGCCAAATAATAGTATTGAGTGAATTACCTAACGCTGCCTGGAAAATAAGAGCTGTTCTAAATGGCAGGAATAACTACTATTTTCTGTTATATTTACAACTATTACACAAGACAAAACTGTTTCTGTTCATCAACAATAACTTCATTGCATTACCTGGAATTAAAAAACTGTAGAACTTTTCCATGAGTTTTTGAATCATCTGATTAGCTTTTTTAGGCCTTCCACCTCCATCACTGAGAAATTCTGGTTTACTTAGCCCAGCTTCAAGAAGGTAAATTCCAACCTGTGAAAAGGTTATACAGTTAACAATTTAATTAACTGTTAAATTGACAAGAATATTATAAACAGAAGAGCATGAAAATAATAACAGTAGTTTTAAAATTAGCAAGTACAGACAGATATAAATCTACTCAAAACACCATGTAGAGGAAATACAGCGAAAAGCTTTTGTGTTTCCTTCAGGTAATACATTCATGGCTACTGGTGAAAAATAAAAATATATTTCTAGGAAAAAACACACTGAAAACATTACAAAAGCATGTCGAAACTATAAATTTTCATCACATTATGAATACATAGTAGCTTTCAGATCTTGTTATTCAGACACTTTTATTGTATTTCAAACAAACAAACAAAAAAAAAGAACTTTCAAAATGCAGAACACTTATAATGAATGCACACCTTTAAATCCTGAGCCTCTCTGGGTCTTTGATAAAGTCCAATTATCTTTTTCTTTTGCAACCATCTCAAGCCTTCCAATATTTCACCACTTAAAGTTGCTTCCACCAGAATACGTTGTTCATAAGCGCCCAGGTATTCTTTTGTTTCATTACTGTACTCTTCTTCACTTCTTTCATGAACACAGACCTGCAGCTCACCATCAGAGTCCCCTCTCATTAAAGTAAAGCTCCTGTCATGGAATTCCTCTGTTAGAATTTGCTCAGAAGGCAGATGAAGAGCAAATTCTCCCAACAAAGCCTTCCAGGACTTATCTGCACGGTATGGTAAGACTATAATATTTAGCTGCACAGACACAGGAGTCAAGATGGAATAAGAGTCTTCTTCATCGTTAACTGTCAAAAACTTAACAGATTTTGAGCCACTGCCTTCTTTCTGTACAACATCTTCATCAGTGCTATCATCATTTATAACAATGAAGGATGCAGAAGTGCTTGGAATTGGAATGTGGTCCTCATTGGTTACTTCATCATCTAATGCCACCACCTCATTTCTCCGGTCTTCATGCATATTCCAGCAGAGCTTTTTCTTCTTCTCCTCATCCACTTTGGATGGAGGTGCACGTTTTCGACGACTACTCATTTTGCCGTTTTCTCAATGGTACTTTCAGTACCTGCAAGTTAAAGTAAGTCAGTCAACAGGAGGCATTACAAAATCAAATAGTCACTCTAGAATTTCACTGTGCAAACTATCACATTCTGTCCTTCAAAGTTCCCAGTGACCTTGCTACTAGTATTGAATAATTTTCCCAGGAAACTGTGCATCCTGGGCCCTGGATATACTAACTGCTTGCAGAAGAGCCCTTAGTTATCTATTGTGCATTTCAGGGGCAGAGTCTTACAGACTGACTACAAACCTAAGTTAAGATAGACATCCAACTCCTTAGCTGAACCAGGGCATAGAACAGATTTTGTAGATAAAATACAAGAAAATAAAGTACACCTGCTAAAGGATATATATGAAGAAGCAAATTATAGAATATTAAACCCATCTGGGAAACTAGTCACTACATAGCCAAAAACACATGCTCACAATTAAATACTCAAACAAGTAGGAACTTTTTTTCAAGATTTTTACAAAGAGCCTGAACATAGTAATAGATTTGTGACCTCATATTACACTGTCAGTATAGATATTTGTGTCTACTCAGCTTGTGCATACAACTTCTAAAGGAATGTAGGATGATAACAGGAAAATGTTCCAAGCTACTGAATCCAGTACACCATATCCTAATGTTGAAGAGTTTTGTGCTGGAACAGAACAGAATTACCCTATTGAATAATTTTAGAGGGGTCTTGGGAAAAAAAACCAAAAAACAACATAGGCTAATTATTAATTCATGAAAGTCAAAGGAAGTATCATGGAACATAGAAATCTTGCTGTGTTTGAAATTCAAACACATAATAGATTAAGTTGAAAAAGACCTCTGAGATCATCGAGTCCAACTTGTGACTGAACACTGCCATGTCAACTAGACCGTGGATGGCACTCGATGCCACATCCAGTCTTGCCTTAAATACCTTCGGGGATGGTGACTCTACCACCTCCCCGGGCAGCTCATTCCAATGCCTAATCACCCCTTCTGTGAAGAAATTCTTCCAAAGGTTCAATCTAAACATTCCCTGGTGCAGCTTAAGGCCATTTCTTCCCATCCTGTCGGAGTTGTTCGAGAGAAGAGACCGACCCCTGCCTGGCTACAGCCTCCTTTCAGGCAGTTGTAGAGAATGACAGTCTCCCACAATTACACAACACACTTAAGAGAACGGCGGGCGAGTTTTTCAAAACAATGCTCACGCCCACGGAGTGATGCTGACAGCACTCGAAGAAAACCCCGACGGCGAGCACACACCGCGCTTAACCCAGAGGCAGAGGGGTCCCTGCGGCATCCCGGCCTGCACGTGCACGATGCCAGCTCGGGCACCGCACTCTACGGGACAAGCGGCAGGGAACCGCTCGGTGCCGAGTGGGGTCCGCTCGCAGCGCCAGAAGACGCCCGTGCCTACGAGCGGAAGCAGCGGCCGCACACGGGCAGGGGAGGCAGCCGGGGTTCCCTGCACAGGCAGCCCCACGGTTCCACCGCCGCACCGAGCGCTCGCCACCCCCGGGGTCAGGGCCGGGGTCAAGGCCAGGGTCGGGGCCTCCCACATCGCGCTCCGCCGCAGGGACGCGGACAGCTCTCGTTGTCCCGAACGAAGAAAGTGACGGGAAGCTCAGCAAGGCGAGCAGCCGGATGCGACACCTCTGGAGCCGGCACTGCACCACCGCGGCACCCGCCACCGGCGGGCTCTGCGCGGCTGCGGTGACCCACCGCCGGCCCCCGGTCACGGCGCAGTCGGCCCGCGGCATCCGCCGCTACCCGTGGCCGCTCGCACAGGCCTCGGACTGCCCGACCCCACCGCCGCCGCCCGCGGAGCGGCAGCCGCGCCGCGAAGGACTAGCGAGGCGGCAGGAGCGTCCGCTCATGGCCGTAGCGGAGGGCGGGGGGCAGCCCCAGGGGCGCAGGGTGAGGGGAGCGGGGCGTGGAGCCGGGGACGTACCGGAGCGGTGACGCTGCTGCCCCGGCGGCCGCAGCTCCTCCCGGCTCGGGCGGGGCCCCCTAGCGGCGGGGGGCGGGTCCGGGGGGCGCGAGAGCGCACCACCCCTGGCAGCACCGGACGGAGCCCCCGGGCAGGGGGTGGAGGAGGAGCGTGCGCACCCGCTCTGGCCCGAGCTGCAGCCAATGGGCTCCGGGAACCGTGTCATTTGCCCCGCCCCCTCGACGTCAGCGGAACAGAGACGGGAAGGCCAGGGAGTAGCACAGGCGCTGTTGGGCTCGCCCTGGGCGAGGGGGCGTGGCTAAGGCGGCAGTGCCCTCAGTGGGGCGGGGCTAAGGGCGGGGCGAGAGTGGGCTTGTGATGTCACGATGGTGGGCGTGGCCTCACGGCAAGCGAGCGTGGTAGGCCCTGGGTGGGGGCGTGGGGAACTGGCGCGGTCCCGGGAATGCACGGGAAGTTGTAGCTGAACCTCGGGAACAGTTTCGCTGTGCGGGTGGCCGTGCACTGGAACAGATTGTCCGGAGAGGCTGAGGAGTCTCCCTCGCTGCAGATACTCAAGAACCGTCTGGTCGCAATCACGTGCCGTGCTCTAGGATGATCCTGCCGGAGCAGGGAGGTTGGAGCAGAGGACCCTCTGTGGTCCCTTCCATCGTGAGCTATTCTGTGATTTTTTGCGTGAAACACTTGGCAGAAGAGAGAGGAGCGTTCAGGCATCTGACAAGAGCAACTGAAAGAGCGAGTTTCTGGGCTGTTAGCACTGCGAAAAGGCAAAATCAGGCCAATTAATTTTTTACAACATATATCATTTCAGTAAAAACTACGGAAGGAAGCTGGTGAGGTTGCTGAAGTGTCTGAAGCGCAAGTCCTACGAGGGAGCTGGGGGTGTGTGGCCTGCAGAAGAGGAGGCTCCTTGGCACTCCCTACAACTCCCTGAAAGGAGCCTGTAGCCACGCAGGGTTTGGCATCTTCTGTCCAGCAACCAGCGACAGGATGAGAGAACATGGCCTCAAACTGTGCCAAAACGGGCTTAGGTTGAACATTAGCAGGAATTTCTTCGTAGAAAGAGCAATTTAACAGTGGAATGGGCTGCCCAGAGCGGTGGTGGAGTCACCGTCTCTGGAGGTGTTCAAGAAAAGACTGGACATGCCACTTAGTGTAATGGTATTGCTGACGAGGTATTCAGTCGAAGGTTGGACTCAATGATGTCAGAGGTCTTTTCCAACCTAAGTGATCCCATGATTCTGTGAAATGCACAGATTGACAATTGGAGACAGCTGTAAGTACACAAATAGAAAGCCCTTTACAGCAAGAAGGTGGGGTACTGTCTTATAACAATTCTTCCAACCATTTTTTAGTATTAGTTTTTACAGATTAATTCCTTACTTGCCTGTGTTGATTTTCTGCCGTTTTCAGCCTTTCTGAAAGGGTGGGTTCAGAAAAGCTGCTCAAAACCAAGGTGTACAGTACCTTTGAAGTGTTGGCCCTTATGCCATGGTGGTTTGGCTGTTTTAATTCGCAATGTTTAATTTTGCATTTCTAGATTAAAATTAGCTTTAAAAGCATCACTTGGTCCTATGTTACAACAAGAAATTGCTGCAGAACAGAAATTAATTGTAAATAATCATTTCGGTTGAAAAGGACCTCCGAGATCAAGTCCAGCCTCTGACTCATAACCTTGTCAACTAGACCATGGCACGAAGTGCCACATCCAGTCTTTCCTTTAAACACCTCCAGGGACAGTGGCTCTACCACCTTCTTGTGAGCAGTCCATTTCGGTGTTTGGTCAACCTTTCTGTGAAGAAATTGCTCTTAATGTCTAACCTGAACCTCCTCTGGCCCAGCTAGAGGCTATGTCCTCTCATCCTGTTGCTAGTTGCTGGGAGAAGAGGTTGACTTCCACCTGGCTACAATCTTCTTTCAGGAAGTTGTAGAGAGCAGTAAGATCCTCCCCGAGCCTCATTTTCTCCAGGCTAAACACCCCCAGCTCCATCAGCTGCTTCTCACAGGACTTGTGTTCCAGACCCTTCCCCAACTCCGTTACCCTTCTCTGGACACACTCCAGCCCCTCAATGTCCTTCTTGAAGTGAGAGTCCCAAAACTGAACACAGGATTTGCCTCACAAGTACAGGGAGAGAATCACTTCCCTGTTCCTGCTGGTTCTCACTATTGCTGGTACAGGCCAGGATGCCTGTTGGTTCAGTCTGTGAGCACCTGAAGTGATGCGCTTCGCTAGGAATTTGTGGAGCTACCTTGTTTCACTCCTACTACTGGTATGCATCCATATACATATGGATAGGTAGGGTAAGCAGCTACCTTTAAAGGAGTGACATCCAGGTTTGTGTTGCAAGATGTGAATATCAAATTTTCTCATTGATTTCTCATCTCTTGATGGCAGGAGTGAGGGCAGCCAGAGGACAACCTCCATCACATTTACTGAGGTGAGGGGGACATGCTGTCAGTCTGTGACAATGTAGAGTCCCCCTACATGGGACCTCAAAGGTGTGACTCCTCATGTGACTGTCCTGCACCTGCTGTTGATGACCTGATGCTGTGAGAAAGTCCCACAAGTGACTGCTGCTCACCCTCCTCCACTTGACTCCACCAGCAATGGGAAACGGGAAAGAAAATCATACACTTCCAGACCTCTTGTAGAAATAGCAGACAACAATTCATGCCTTAGTGAGATCTGTTCCCAGTCTCATTTACAGGACTGTTCACAGGGCCATTAATCTCTTAATGAGTCTTGCCCTTTAGTTAGCTCTTCTATTTCTATAGTGTCCATGTCTTCTATTAACCGTTTCCTCTCCTGGGTTGGGATTTTTTCTTTCTTTGGTAGTGGTGATGGTCTTTAAAGACTTTATAACATAAAGCATTTGTGAAACTGAACTTTATTTTCTCATTTGTATGTCATGAAAACTAGTAAGCAAGAGAGGAACATTTCTGCTTTCAGAGAGGGAGAAAACACAATGGTCCCGAGAGGGTGCCTGCTCTTCGTGAAAATATCTGAGTGTAACAGCCTGATGGAGAGATGGAGGCTTCAGACAACTCTTAAAATGCTGTTTATTGCATAGCTGAGGTTACAGCAGTTGTGGGTTGTGGGTGAGCCTACAGATGCTGGCTACAGGCAAGCCATGTGTCCTGAAGCCCCTCTAGTTCTGGTTACAATGCATTATATACTTTTCATTACAGAGCATCTTAGTACATGACAACCAATCAAGACTTTTACTATTACCTATAGCCTATCCTAACCACTAATATTACCATATTCATGTTACTATTTCCAATCACAAAAGGTTAGTATGTTACAGTTTAAGCTAGAAGTTGTTTTTCAGTTTTCTTGGAGTGGAAAATTCTGAGATCTTTTCTCTACTTGCAACATTGGCTTTGTTGTTTGCCTGTGAAAATCCTTTTGTTTGGTCAAAACATCTTTCTTTGAGGTGGATTTATCCTTTGCTCTAAGCCATAAAAGACCCTTCCAACTCACTTGCTCTTTGCCTTCTAGTTACCCAGTAAGACTGGCTCAGCAGTTCTTTTCTTCTATATCAAAACTTGCTATCATTTCTATTCCTTCTTCAGATTCTACATTCAAAGATCTTTCAGTTATACATACATATGTGGGAGACCTTCCTCTCAAATCCTTATCCTTCCCAACATCTGAGCCTCTCTTTCTCTCACCTTCCTTTGGTAAGAAGTATCTTTCATAGTTCTTGGGATAAACAACCTTGTCATGATCCTCGGGCTGAGGGAGATAACTCCAAAAAAGGCAATAGTTATGCTCTGGCCTTTCCCAGGTAGCCGTTGTCTTGGCACTGCTCAAACCTCTCCCAGCTTAAAGCTGAGAAGTCACTTCCCAGCTCTCCCTGCCCACTTATTGGGTTAAGACTCAGTACCCCTTAGGTCTTTTCAACACATGGAGGGGAAAGTGACTCAGATTTGAAAATACCCTTGGGTAGAGGTGCAGTGAAACAACACTAGAGGTCGTTTAACAAGTAATGATTTTATTTGAAGAAAAGTTCACATTTGTTAATGCAAAGATGAAGGTTAGCAAAAGGCTGTATTGGTAGACCTTGCAATATCATATGAGAAAGAGGAGGGTGGGCAAAAAAGAGAGAGAAAAAAAAAGAAAGGGGAAGAGAGAGAGATAATCTGTCCTGCATCCAGCACAGAGCAAGCTAATGGAGATCTCTGAAGTTCTTGAGTATACTCCGACACAGTCAGAGGCACAAATCTTATCAAACAGCTGTCCCTTCTTTGGGGAAGAAAGAGGAGCAGGTCTGTTCATTTGTCTGTAAGGTGGTTGTATTCTCGGCCTCTCTCATGAAGGATTTCAAACACCAGTTTTTACTTTTGGAAGAAGTGGAGGTGAGACCGTGCTGCCATCATAAATGGGGGCAGGGCAGCCAATTTATATGTAAAAGTAACAATTTATACATAGAGGAACAAAGAGAGGGGTTACAAAGACTGTGGGTCTAGTGAAAGGGCAGAGCAGAGCCATGACACCTTAGCATCACTCCCTCTTCCCCCTGACTGCAGGGATAAGGGTCATCTCCCCCTCAGCACAGCATTCCCACATCTCATGGAAATCTCTTAGCTACGTATCTCATGGCATATCCCATGGAACACTTGACTGTTATCTTGCCTGTTGTGGCTCCACAGGAGTGTTTGAGGCATTTCGTGGAAGGATGCAAAGGGATCTCCACCATGTCCATTTTTTGTCTTAAGGAATTTTGCTTTTCTGTCTAGCCACTTACAAACCTATCTTTTGAAATAATGGCTATGGGCAGGTGGAAAAATGCCTGTTTCTATTCAGCAGCTAATGACTACCAGTGATTAGCACCCAGTAATTTTTCTGCTGTTCTAAAGAACTTCAGTGCATGAAAGAAGATAATTGCCATTTAATCTAACAAAATAAAAAGGAACAGCATAAAGAGAAGAGAATATGACATAAAATAAGACCATGTGATTTTTTTTACCACACTTGAGAACATAGCCTCCCTTGCCTATGAATAAAAATCCCCCTATATTTTCAGTAGTAACACTTAAAGCCCGG